GAGAAAGATAAAATGATGTCGTTGAGATCACAACTTCTTTGAAATTGCCAAAAACTGATTGGTTTCTTTTATTAGATTTTCAGTTTAATAAATAATTATGGAATATATTGATATCCATGACCGCATCGTTGGCCGAGTGGTTGCAAGTGCGACTGCCGTGCAAGGGGTCTCGGGTTCGATTGCTGGGTCGGGCAAAGTACTTACTACTGAGTTTTTAAAAAAAATCTGAGTAGTAGCACGGAGTCTGGAATTGTGCCCGGTATATGGCAATAGGCTCACCCCCTATTACATGGGACTCATAACATAAATAGTGGAAAGTGAGTGTTATATTATGCAGTGGCATTAAGTGCCATAATGTGCACTTCTGCCCACTCCTTCAGGGATATAAGGCGTGATGTTATGTTATCTTGATATCCATGCAAAAATATATCTAACCTTATATATAGTCTTAACCTCTTATCTGCCGGCATGTGAGACACAATAGAAAACATATTGTGTCTCGCGTATATCTACGTTATATACCAGGCATACCAGGGGTTGAAGAATAAAAAAAATAAACAAATTAATAATAGAAATCTATAGGTTTTTGTTGGAGATTATAATCTATTTTTACTTTGGAAAAAAATAGTTTTAGAGAAATATATTTTTTAAAAATGTGTTGGTGTGTGTATTATCGCTAGTAAATCCCATTAAAACCAGTACCACAAGTATTTCATGCATATAAATAAGGAAACTACAACACATTTTGATTATCTATTTTTTTTGTTATCTTTATGGCAATTGGACTAAAGTTGTGATGTCAAATACACATTAGTAATCTCTTTGGATAAAAAATTTAAAGTAAAATGTTTAATTTCAGTAATGATTCCGTAATTAATGCTGATTTTGACTAAAAATAAAAAAGTGCCCCACAATCCTCGAACTCCTTATTCCCAAAAACTTGTAACGCCTCTGGTGTTTCGGGTATCCATGGGCGACGCCGATTGCTTACCATCAGGTGATGCGTCTGCCCGTTTACTGGCTTATCTCATAAAAAAAGTGCCTACTGAAGTACTGAATGATTCGATAAAATCCAATGTATCAGAGATATTAAATCGATTAATTTGTTCAAACGAACAAAAATAGATACAAATAAATTTATAGAGATACATTATATTGAGATGTTACGTGTAACGTCCCTGAATTGAGACAAAATAATAAATAAAACAAAAAAAAACTAATTTACGCATGACGCCATAATACTTGACACTTGACATCTGTCATCGTAAAAACTCCCGCCAAATATTACAACCAATGCATGGTTGCTTACATGCTTATTGGAAGTTTTTTTTATTTATTAAAATTATAATGACCACGATTATACGAATGAAGTTTCTTGCTCCTTCTCCATTCCAATCTACATTTTGGAATGAGCACCTAGCTTCACCTAGCTTCACTGACGGACTGACTGATAGACTATTATTTATTCTGTATTTGTTGACGTTTGAAAAGTACCAAATTATGGTTTATCTGAAATAAATGCTTTGACTTTGACTTTGCTTAATTATTAATAATTTTTGGATCACACAAAGAGTTGCTCCATGCGAGAATTGAGCCCGCTGCACGTTGTGCGGCAGCCGGTTGCCCAAACATCGCGCCAACTGTGCAGTACAATAAAAGAAAGAAAAAACTTAATACATACATAAAATCTTTTATCCCCGAAGGGGTAGGCAGAGGTGCACATTATGCCACTACAATGTAACACCCACTTTTCACTATTTATGTTATGAGTCCCATGTAATAGGCGGTGAGCCTATTGCCATATACCGCGCACATTTCGAGACTCCGTGCTACTACTGAGGTTTTTTTCAACCCAAGTAATAGTTTTCCCGACCCGGGAATTGAACCCGAGATCCTTTGCCCGGCAGTCGCACTTGCGACCACACAGCCAATGAGGCAACTTAATTTCACACGCTAAACACAAGTGACAAATACAGATTATTGTTAGTCTATCAGTATGGTACATATTGATACAATGTTCGTGTCCCAAGTCTGCGGTGAAATGGGATTTTTTTTTGAGAAAATCATCCAATGGCTTCTCCCGCCTGGGTGATGTGAGAGGGAGTGTCAGACTCTTACTGACTAATACGACCTACTTCTGCACTTCGAGCCGTTGCCCCGGCAACCCCTTAAGTCCTCCGCGGTTCCATATCGGGCATCAGCTCTATTGGGCCCCATCCGTGGTGGTCTGATGACTAAGACTCTTTGAGGTACGCGCAGAACGCGACGGGTCTGGTTGTGGTCGGGCGGCGAGTCAGTGCTTACGGTATTCTATTCTCTAAATATGGTTGTATGGAATAACAGTCATAGTAAGGGACTGTGACTGTTATTCCATACAACCATATTTACTTTTCCCTTATTTTTTCTGCTATCTCAAGTGGTCTATTTAAAACAGCTAGCAACAATATAGTACCTATATTGTTATCAAAATGACAATGTTTGCGTGGGGCTTATCGAAACCGTAATTATTATCATTGCAAGTCATCCTTGCTTCAGCGGTTGAAATCACGACTACCAAACTTAAAGTACTAGGTTGACTTTCGGTGTAAACGGTAATAGGGTAGACGCACGGACTCGTCCGGGTGTTATCACTGCGAGGACCGCCCTGAGGACACGGTGGAACACGCTGTAGCGGAATGCCCTGCGTAGGCTGAGCACCGCCGTGCCCTCAGGGAAGTGATCGGCGATGACGACCTCTCGCGTCCGGGCCTAGTGCAGGCCATGATACGGAGCAAAGGGGACTGGGATGCCGTCTCCTCCTTTTGCCTCAAAGAGCCATCAGATCACCACAGATGGGCCCCAATAGGGCCGATGCTGATTCGGAGTCACGGAGAACCTAACGGGTAACCGGGGCTCCGGCTCGATGTGCAGGAGAAGGAGCGGGGTGGTTTTTAGTCAGTAAGAGTCTGACACCCCCTCCCGCCTTACCCAGGCGGGAGCAAACATTCGGTGACTTTCCCCCCTTAAAAAAAATCATCCATGCTTCAGCGGTTGGAATCACGCCTACCAAACTTAAAGTATTAGGTTGACTTTTGGTGTAAACGGTAATAGGGGACGGACGGACTAGTTACACGATTGCATCCGAATTGCAATTTTCGGTCGGATTGCAGTTGAAAGCGGGTCGTCTGTCTAGAGCCCCAGACAACTTTTTTTTGTTTTCTGAGGGAGGAATATCATCCAATGACTTCTCCCGCCACCCAGGCGGGAAAGGTCAGAAGCGAGAGGGAGTGTCAGACTCTTACTGACTAAAAACCACCCGGTTCTTTCTCCTGCACTTCGAGCCGGAGCCCCGGCAACCTGATAAGTCCTCCGCGGCTCCGTATTGGCATCAGCCCTATCTGTAGTGGTCTGATGGCTCTTAGAAGCGCGCGCGAACCGCGACGCACCGTATGCTCGGATCCCAGACAGCTACATTCTCATATCCGTAAACAAACACGTGTTACCTTCCTTATCTATGTGAAAGCCACCTCTGACCTATAAACACACGACAATACCCGCCAGCATTCATTATGCTGTTAAATTAATTAATCTAATTAGTCTTTAATGATTCACGTTATACGATCACCATTTATAAGTATTACTGCCGTACGTAAACACACTTAATGATAAATTAAACTATTCCTTATTAGATTTTGTTTCGAAAATTGGGTACTTTTCTTAATCAAAAATAAATTATTTCGACTGTTCAATACAATTAAATATTACAAAATAATCACACTTTCATCAACTGATTTTATGACCAACTTCATTTTAGTATTTTTCCAGCAAATTTTTAAGAAATAAGTTTGTTGTTGGACGCTAAAAAGCGTGACGTCACAATACACAATCTCGTACAAAATTCATAGAAAACTGTCGTTTTTGACAGTTCGAAAAAAGTATTGAATTTTTGGCTAGTTGGCAAGTACAAAATTGGGTTAAGTAACCGTTAAATGACTTTTAAGTAAGGCAAGGCATAGAAACAACACGATCTCGGCAGCCATTACAGAAAAAAAAAAATCAATATTTTTTTTGTTTTTTTTTTTTACAAACGTTGCCCCACATTTAGATTTCCCCCTGTGTCGTGGGTGCGTTTACAAACATACAAGTTCACATACACAATGACAACGTGACGCGGGTTCGATTCGCGCACGGAACAACACTTTGTGTGATCCACAAATTGTTGTTCCGAGTCTGGGTGTCATGTGTATGTGAACTTGTATGTTTGTAAACGCACCCACGACACAGGAGACAACCTTTTAATAATAATAATGATTAGATTCTTTATTTTTCTTTTAGGAATTTGAAAATGAGCCTAATTATGATTTTAAAGTTTCGCTCCCCTGGTCAGTCTCAGAGCTGACCCTGACCGATTTGGGAGAAGGCCAAAAGAAAGAAATCAGATATTAACTGAAATAGACATGAAATCGTAAATCCATAACGATTTCTTCATAAACTACATTGTATTTATTTTATAACTTTGGTGAGATGTACTCAATTATCTGTTACCCGACTACGGCAAGGCAGAAGGACATAACATAACATCACGCCTTTTATCCCCGAAGGGGTAGGCAGAGGTGCACATTATGCCACTGTACAATGTAACACCCACTTTTCACTATTTATGTTATGGGTCCCATGTCATAGGGAGTGAGCCTATTGCCATATACCGGGCACAATTCCAGACTCCGTGCTACTACTGAGATTTTTTTTAAACCAAGTAATACTTTGCCCGACCCGGGAATCGAACCCGAGACCCCTTGCCCGGCAGTTGCACTTGCGACCCGGCCGGCTCCGATGTTTGGCAATGATATCGTTGCTGAAAGAACCCTAAAATCCATCAACTAATTTTGATAAAACTTAGTTCTCCCAAAATCAAGAACATGAAACCTAAGTAGAATTTATTTATCTGGCTACCCTATACTAATGATACCCTTTCTCTCTTTCCAGGGTAAAAAGAAAAATCTCAGCAAAAAATACTCAAAATGTTACGACGCTGCTCCAAGCATTTACAGACGTTGTACCGAAGGCAGGGGCAACAAGCCCTTCGGTTCAAGTCTACAGAGGCTCCGAAGGTCTTCGGGGCTCTGTCCCAGGCGGCCGCGAGGACAGCCCAGCCCCGGGCCCTCACCGCAGCCCACAACCAGGTCGCCACCATCCACTTCACGAACCCCCTCCTCGCTGAACAAGACATCATGACTCCAAGCTTCCCCGATTCCGTCTCTGAAGGAGATGCGAAAATCGAAAAGAAAGTCGGAGACGCCGTTGCCATGGACGAGGTTGTAATGGAGATTGAGACCGATAAGACAGCTCTGCCTGTCATGGCGCCCGGCAACGGTATCATTAAGGAGTTCTACGTGAACAATGGAGACACTGTGAAGGCTGGACAGAAGTTGTTCAGATTGAGCTGACCGAGGGAGGCCCGCCTCCTAAGGCCGCGGCCGCGCCTGCTCCCGAGCCTCCGAAGGCTGAGGCTCCTCCCCCACCGCCCCCAGCAGCTGCAGCCCCACCCCCGCCACCTCCCCCAGCGGCTGCAGCGCCGCCCCCACCTCCACCACCACCAGCACCTGCTGCTGCAGCTCCGAAACCAGCTGCTCCTATCTCCTCGATCCCTGTCGCAGCGATCCGTCACGCGCAATCTATCGAAACTGCGTCTGTAAAAGTTCCTCCCACGGACTACTCCAAGGAGATCGCTGGTACACGCACAGAACAGCGCGTGAAGATGAACAGGATGCGACAGCGCATCGCACAGCGTTTGAAGGAGGCACAGAACACTAACGCCATGCTGACCACCTTCAACGAGATCGACATGTCCCATATAATGGCTTTCAGGAAGAAGAACCTAGATGCTTTCACCAAGAAGCATGGTGTGAAGCTTGGTCTTATGTCGCCCTTCGTGAAGGCATCAGCGACTGCTCTGATGGACCAGCCCGTGGTGAACGCAGTTATCGAAGACAATGAGATTATATACCGTGACTACGTAGATATATCTGTAGCGGTGGCGACGCCTAAAGGCTTGGTGGTGCCCGTAGTTAGGAATGTACAAAATATGACGTATGCGGACATCGAGCTGACGATCGCTAACCTCGCCGAGAAGGCTAAGGCCGGTAAACTTACTATTGAGGAGATGGACGGCGGCACCTTCACGATTAGTAACGGTGGAGTGTTCGGTTCATTGATGGGAACTCCCATCATCAACCCCCCTCAGTCAGCCATCCTGGGTATGCACGGAATCTTCGAGCGCCCCATCGCGGTCAACGGCCAAGTAGTGATCAGACCTATGATGTACATAGCTCTAACATACGACCATAGGCTGATCGACGGCCGTGAAGCTGTCATGTTCCTCAGGAAGATCAAGCAAGGAGTGGAAGACCCCGCGACCATCATCGCCGGATTGTAGATACAGGAAAACCGACCTTATTACTACCAATGGAGTTACCATAATGTTATAACCGTGAACAAATGCTTCGCAGGTCGGAGAGTTTTGAAAAAGTAAAATCATGTAATATACACGATTCAATCAGTAGGTTTATAGATGCCGAAGTGTACGCACGTGTCAGCTACGGATTATTTTGTTATTTATTTAATTAAAGTGCGCCTCGTATTCTGTATATGTATTATTTATGTGTCTAAGTAATAATTGTCCAGAAGTACACAAGTTTAATCTTTATGTGACGACATAAAAACTCTTGTTTTATTTATTATTTTTTTCTTTTCGAACGTTTCGATTATTAAGCGGTGAAATTTTCAGTATTTGTACATTTTGAGTACAATTTCAATGTTTAAAAGCACTCAGATGTATGTAATAACACTATTAGAAAGTATATCAGTTATTTTATTTGGCCTCTTTACTTATGATCTAGATCCAGTTCAAAATTTTCAGCTTCTCAGCTGTAACTCGTGTAATTGGAAGGTAAATTATTCTTAAATTTGCCACTGGGGGCGCTAGTAGTATCTAAGACTTCATAATAATGATGTATGAAGAATTGTATATTAAAAAATTGTTGCAAATGTTGCTTCTACTCGCCAATAGATGGCGCTTATATCAATACGAGATCGTCAAATAAATCCTACATCGTAAAAAGCGATGTTTTCTTTGGAACAAATTAGAAAACTATGCACCTAAACTTAATAGGTACATACATACTAACATCACGCCTTTTATCCCCGAAGGGGTAGGCAACGGTGCATATTATGCCACTGTGCAATGTAACACCCACTTTTCACTATTTTAATTTATGAGGCCCATGTAATAGGGAGTGAGCCTATTGCCATATACCGGGCACAATTCCAGACTCCGTGCTACTACTGAGTTTTTTTTCTAAAACCCAGTAATACTTTGTTCGACCCAGGAATCGAACCCGAGACCCCTTACCCGGCAGTCACACTTGCGACCACTCGGCCAACGAGGTAACCTAATAGGTATTTAGAAGAAAAGAAGACTAAGAAAATGTTTACATAACATAACATCACGACTTTTATCCCCGAAGGGGTAGGCAGAGCTGTGCACGTTACGGCACTTAATACCACTGTACAATGTAACACCCACTTTTTAGTTAAAATTATTAATGTTATGAGTCCCATGTTAGGGGGTGAGCCTATTGCCTTATACCGAGTACAATTCCAGACTCCGTGCTACTACTGACATTTTTTTAAACCCAGTAATAGGTACTCTGCCCTGAATAAATTCCGAGATGCCTTGCCCGGCAGTTGCACTTGCGACCGCTCTGCCAACGAGGCAGTCATGTGAAATGATTACTGCATAACATATTGGAAATTGGAAATAAGTATACACCTATATCAATTACATAGAGAAAACAAATGTGTAGATTTCCCAAGCGACTTATAGGTCTTTGGGTACTTGCCAATTAGTCAAATTCAATACTTTTTTCGAACTGTCAAAAACGACAGTTTTCTATGAATTTTGTACGAGATTGTGTATTGTGACGTCGCGTTTTTTAGCGTCAAACAGCATACATATTTCTTAAAAAATTGCTAGAAAAATACTAAAATTAAGTTTGTCATAAAATCAATTAATAAAAGAGTGATTATTTTTTAATATTTTATTGTATTGGACAGTCGAAATAATTTATTTTTGATGAAAGAAAGTACCTAATTAGGTCAACGACAATTTAAAATACTGGGACCGCTCTCATCAGGCTCGGCGAGGTCAGTAGTAAAATAAAAACCATAAACAAATATTTACAAGCAATTTGTATTCACTTAAACTATATTAATATTTACAGGAATATTTAAACTATATAAAACTAATTTCTCTTCTTATGCGCTACTATCTTCTGCTTCTTGCCGAGCATTCTTCTGAGACAACCGGTTACGACCAGTTTGAGGAGCGTGACGAGCATTACAAGCACTGCTAGCAAGACGACCACAAAGTCTACCATCCATCGCTCATACCATTTATATTCTAGCGCTGGTGACCGAATGTGATATGCACCTGTTAAAGAGATATTTGAATTTAGACTTTACTTTTTTTATGGCATAAGCCGGTAAACGAGCAGACGGATCACCTGATGGTAAGCAATCGGAGTCGCCCATGGATACCTGGAACACCAGAGGCGTTGCAAGTACGTTACAGGCCTTTTGGGGATTAGGAGTTTGAGGATCTTTGAGGATTCAGGAATTGGGGAGATTGGGGAAGGGGGAGGGTAATTGGGCCTCCGGTAACCTCACTCAGACGACGAAACACAACGCAAGCGTTGCTTCACGTCGGTTTTCTGCTCGGCCGTGGTATCACTCCGGTCGAGCCGGCCCATTCGTGCCGAAGCATGGTTCTCTCACACTTATTTTGTAAGTCATAAGGTAAGAAGTCGTATGTGATATTTTACTGTACCTACCTATGTCAAGTTGCATCCCGTGGATAAACATCCCGCCGGGCAGTGCTGGTCAAATTGAAATCTAACTACTGATTACTAACTACGAATACTTAAATTAGATAGTTATCATGATTACAGATTTCATTAAATAATCGTAAAAAGTAGTTAAACATTTTGATTACTAACTAATACTTAATTGTAGTTATAATAACGATCTCGTAATCGTTTGTAAAGATAACATAACATCACGCCTTTTATCCTCGAACGGGTACGCAGAGGTGCACATTATGCCACTGTACAATGTAACACCCAATTTTCACTATTCATGTTATGAGTCCCATGTAACAGGGGGTGAGCCTATTCCCATATACCGGGCACAGTTCCAGACTCCGTGCTACTGAGTACCTATTTTTTAAAACCCAGTAATTCTTTGCCTGACCCGGGAATCGAACCCGAGACCCCTTGCCCGGCAGTCGCACTTGCGACCTAGATTTCTTTTCATAACTATTTGCATATTTAAAGTAGTATTGCGTTTTATAAAAATGCTAAAACCCATCACAGACATAACTAAAATATTATGTTTACGTGCAATTAATGATTTTCATTTTAGTTGATTCGCAAATGATTCAAATTGAGTTTAAGTTGTGAATTAAACTGAAGATTTTTTTTATGCAGTCAGATCCCGAAGGCCGAAACTTATATAATACCACAATACAATGTTTATTTAATTGCAAAATATTAGTCAAAAAAAAAACAATAGACTGCACGGTTGGTGCGGTGGCTGGGCAACCGGCTGCCGTGCAACGTGTCGCGGTTTCGATTCCCGCACGGAACAATACTTTGTGTGATCCACAAATTGTTGTTTCGGGTCTGGGTGTCATGTGTATGTGAACTTGTATGTTTGTAAACGCACCCACGACACAGGAGGAAATCCCAGAGTGAGGCAACGTTTAATATATATAAAAAAAATACTCAGTAGTTATAATTAGGTACTACTAAATTACAGTAATCAAATTAATAACTACTTCATGTAGTTAGATTACCGACTTTAGTTACCTAAGTTACAGACAACTTCATTTAGTTATAACTATATGTAATCATAACTACATGTAAGTAGTTAACTATTTGTAATCGTAGTTATTAATCAGATCACCCCACGACCCAACACTGCCGCTGGCCAAACCCTCTTATGATGGGACTATATGGACTAAAACAGATTGTTGATGGTATGGTAATGTTGATAAATTGGCTAATAGAGATTGTTCAGACAATTCCATGCATCATCTACAGCCTATAAGTGTCCACTGCTGACCAAAGGCCTCTTCTCACACGGAGAAGGTTTGAGCAGTAATCACCGCACTTGCTCAATGCGAAGCGAATTTTAAACTTATAATTAGAAATTATGAGCCCAGCTTTCCTCGCGATGTTTTCCTTCACCGTCTGTCAGTGGTGTCTAAATAATCTTAGAAAGTACATATAACTCGGAAAAAGTCGAACCAGCACCCTCATGTATGAGATACCTCTGGGTTACCACGACATTAGACAATTTAAGATATTAATATTATAAGTTACCTTTGGTGTCGATAGCCAGTTCTACGTAGAAGTTGACCAGATCTGATGGTGGAACTGGACGGAGACGGAATGTCTTCGAAATCTCCTTCACTTTTTTGTAATACCTAGAAAAAAAAGAAAAAATATTAAAGTGAAGCAAGGTTTTTGTACCGTCCTCTGAAACTACAAGACTTATTTTTAGTTTTTCTTTAAGTGGTGTATTTTTCTATAGAGTAGATATTGAGACTAGTCTGAAGATCGGCTCGAGCGTACGGAGCGTCGCGTTCCGTGCGCCTCAAAGAGCCATCAGACCTCCACAGATGGGGCCCAACAGGGCTGATGCCAATACGAAGCCGCGGAGGACATAACAGATTGCCGGGATCACGGTTCGAAGTGCGGAAGTAGGAACGGGGTGGTTTTTAGTTAGTGAAAGTCTGATATTCCTTCTCCCCTCACTCGGGAGGGAGGAGTCCTTTTCCCCCTTTAAAAAAAACCAGTAGATTGGACAGGTTTTTACTTTCGAAATTCATAGTGTAAGTACCACGAATGGTAATGCACTAGTAATGCCTTTTATGTTCAGAGTGCGTTGCAGATTGCTTACCATCAGGTGATCCGCCAGCACATTTACCGCCGTATCCCATATAAATGTATTACAAAAGCAACTCACACATCCGTACTCAGCATCTTCCGCAGCGCTGCTTCTACATCAGGCACCATGTCATCTTTAAACGTCACCTTCACAGCGTATCCGGCCAGTTCAGCGCGTTCAGCATTCGATGGCTGGTCTGCCAACACTGGTATAGCTAGGAGTGGCACTCCAGCATAGACAGCTTCCAATGTGCTTAGGAGACCACCATGGGTGATGAACAGGCGGACGTTTTTGTGGACTGGTGGAAAATATGGAATTGTTAATAATGTTTTATAAAAAAAACTAGCTGAGCCGGCAAACGTTATTTTGCTAAAATAGGAATGATTAAAAGTTAATATGAGAGATAGCAAAATAATAATTGTCAACGTTACTACTACACTTGATGCATAAACAATAATGATGGCCGACAACTGTGTAGGGAGCACTGGTAGGGAGTGAGAAAGAAAGGAGACCGGCTTCGTTCTCATCCCTACTCCGTGCTCTTTACTGGGTCAGAAGCACTGATATGATAAGAGGTCAGAAGTGACATCTGGCGGGGATAACTAATTAAATGACGATTGATCAGTTTTCGACCAGAGAGGAAAAATGATTAAATTACTAAAATGGCTATTAAAAAATAAGGGTTGATCGTAGAAGGGTGAAAATTGAGGATTGTACCTCTATGTATTTTTGTATAGAAATTAAAAATGTTGACTAAAAATTAAAAAAAATTGGGTTTGACTACCCCTAACATTTAGGGGGATGAAAAATAGATGTTGGTAGATTCTTATAGATACCGGATAAGCACAAAAAATTTCATCAAAATCGGTCAAGCCATTTCGGAGGAGTATGGCAACGAAAACTGTGACCCGAGAATTTTATACATTAGATTTAAGGTTTTTAGTGACAGTCTGTCACGTAAACGTCTGGAAATCGAACCCGAGACCCCTTGCCCGGCAATCGCACTTGCGACCACTCGGCCAACGAGGCAGTCAAAATCAATGACGTGAGTGGGACTCGAACCTCTGCAACTAAACTAAAGTATACTCTCCTATCATTAAAATATAATTAAAAATAAATTGAATCAAAAAAAAATTCTAGAGTGCGTTTATTCAGTATTTTTTATGAGTACCTTCTATCTTTGATGAGGAAAATTATTAGCAGATTGCAGTTTAGACCCGATTATTATTACGCTGTGTGAAGGGGTAGGCAGAGGTGCACATTATAACCACTGTACAATGTAACACCCACTTTTCACTATTTATGTTATGAGTCCCATGTAATAGGGGGTGAGCCTATTGCCATATACCGGGCACAATTCCAGACTCCGTGCTACTACTCGTGCAGACGGGGTAGATCCTAATTGGGCATCCGTTAACCTCATTCACACGACGAAACGTTGTCTCACGTCGGTCTTCTGTGATGCCGTGGTATCACTCCGGTCGAGCCGGCCCATTCGTGCCGAAGCATGGCTCTCCCACACTTAAATAGTCAGTAGTCTATTAAGAGTGTGGTAGTAGTGCAACAGCGGACGTTATACAGTTGATGATATTTGTTTTTTATTTTAACAACTTAATGACTGAGGGTTTCTCTTACTTTACATTAAATAACTTAGTACTCAACAATAAAAAGACAAAATGTATTAGATTTGTTTTGCCAAATGTTAAAAGCAACGAATGTGACATAATACTGAATGGTGAGAAATTAGAGTTTGTAAAAGAGACAACTTTCCTGGGAATTACTGTAGACGACAAATTGCAATGGGGTCCTCACATTACATCATTAGCGGGACGATTGAGCTCTGCAGCTTATGCTGTCTGGAAGATACGACAGTTAACTGACATAGACACGGCAAGACTAGTGTATTTCAGTTATTTTCATAGCATTATGTCGTATGGTATTTTGCTGTGGGGACACGCTGCTGACATTGAGTCTATCTTTATCTTACAAAAGCGCGCCGTCAGAGCTATCTACAATCTAGGTCGTCGCGAATCTCTCAGAGAAAGGTTTAGGGAGATCAACATTATGACCGTTCCATGTCAATTTATTTATGAAAACATTATGTATGTTAGGAAAAACCTAGAGTTATTTGGTAAAGTGTCGGACAGACACCACTATCAAACTAGACATAAGAATAGATTAAGTCAGCCAATTTCGAGATTAGCGAAAGTAAGTAAGTCGTTCATGGGATTCTGTGTTAAATGTTATAATAAGATACCAGGCGATGTACAACAACTAAATGAATCGAAATTTAAATTATGTATAAAGAAAACTTTATGTAGACAAGCATATTACTAACTTAATGAATATATAGAGGATAAAAATGCTTGGATGCAGGCTAGTCCGGCTCCACAGGATAACTAAAAACACTGTTGTTTTAATGAAATCGTAAATAATACAACCATATTGCTAAATTGTATGTTGTTTAACTTAAATAAGCGTTGTAAATGTGAGAGCCCTGTAATTAACTTAATATTAAATCAGATTAGTAAAATTTATTTGTGTTAGCTTGGAGTTGTCATGCTAACTCAAAGGTCTCATTGGCGGTGGCGCGTGCAGTGGATCGCTCGATTCCCTACAATATGGTTGAGTTGGGCGGTGCTGGTGTACGTGTCATGTTCGTGAACGGGCGCCGTCAACTGGGACTGGTCAGCTCCAGACTGTATTTTTTATTGTCTTTAAGGTTATTTTTTTTTTCAATCACTTTGACTGGATTTTGGTTTTACATTGTTCTCGCACAATCCAAACAGCAAAACTATGTAACTAGTAAATTGTATTGTGAACCTGATTGAAAAAGAGTAACCTATGGAGTTTCTTGCTCGTTCTTCTCCATAGGAATCTACACCTTGGAATGAGCAAATAGCTTCACTTGTAATTTTCTTTTTGTTGACGTTCAAAAGTGCCATTCTGGCCTAATTGAAATAAATGATTTTGACTTTGACTTTGACTTTGACTCTTCCAGTACTAACTTTTGTGTGGTACACAGACAGGGCATGATATGATGATAATGGTAATTACCAAGTATACTAAGCTGAGGCATCCAGGGTCTGACGTGGACATTAGGAGGGAGATCCTCGAGAGGCTCCTCGAACTTCCACAGCACTGTGTAAGGGAGGGAAGCGAAGAGTTTCAGCAGACCATCACGGGTGTGCGGTTTCAGAGCTGCTGAGAGTAGAATAGAGCCCATGCTGATCACACCTTGAGGTGATCCGTCCAGTAAATCTTGGAGATCCTGAAATGGTTAGATGATGTTATTTAATTTAACCAAAAATAATTGTAAATGATGAAAGGTCCTGGAGAAAGTGCTGATGTAATTTGATAAAAAGAACATTGCACCACATTAAGATTTTTTCCTGTGTCGTGGGTGCGATTGCAAACATACAATTAGGCATACACGTGACACCCAGACCTGGAACAACCATCTGTGGATCACACAAAAAGTAGTTCTGTGCGGATATCGAACCCGTGACTATAAACAAAAAGTACGAATGAAAAAAAAAGGCTTCACCGAGGGAAGTGGAAACTATAGTTTTTTTCTCCTCTTATAATATCTTCTGATTCATTTCGTTGCGGGAACCAAGACAGTCGTTCAAGTCCTTGGGACGCGGCGGACTTCAGTGTTCCGGTGTTTTCATGGTTGTATCTACTGTAGATTCTGGCTTACAGGAGTTGCAGCGGTTTTGGGAGGTAGTGGCGGGCTTGCCAAAAAGCCATACTTTATAATTACCAAAAAATAATCAAAATAAAATACCTTAGGCAACGGCGCCGGTTCGTCAATATGGTACCCAGCTATGTTGATGACATTGGGCGGCAGGCTCATAGGGTACCCTATAGACTCATGGGAGTTGGCGAGGAGTATGGAGACGTTGTGGTAAGCGTCTTCGAAGGGGGGAAGGGTAACTCTTCTCTTTGCAGCTAGGGGACTGAAGATGGACTCGTAGGTAGAGGTTACGGTGGATTTGTCGAACCTGGAAAATGATAAACAGTTACTAAAATAAAGTGTGGGAGAGCCATGCTTCGGTACGAATGAGCCGGCTTGACCGGAGTGATACCACGGCCGAGCAAAGAATCGACGTGAAACAACGCTTGTGTTGTATCAGTCTCAGTTATCCCCCTCCCAAATCTTCTCAATTCTCGAATCCCCTACGATCCTCAAATTCCTAATCCCCAAGCCCCAGGTCAAGTCCCCATGCCGGTAACATAAGAGCGTTACAAGTGTAAGACTCTTATGGTGTTCCGGATGTCCTTGGCGACGCTGATTGCTAACCATCAGGTGATCCGTCTGCTCGTTTACTGGCTTAACATAACATAACATAACATCACGCCTTTTATCCCCGAAGAGGTAAGCGGAGGTGCACATTATACCATTGTAAAATGTAACACCCACTTTTCACTATTTATGTTATGAGTCCCATGTAATAGGGGGTACCTATTGCCATATACCGGGCACAATTACGGACCCCGTGCTACAACTGAGAATTTTTTTAAAACCCAGTAATACTTTGCCCGACCCGGGAATCGAACCCGAGACCCCTTGCCCGGCAGTCGCACTTGCAACTAGTCGGCCAATGAGGCAGTCAAACTGTAATATGTCCTTAATAGGTATAATAGTATCATTAACTATTAAAAAATATCTTACCACTCATCAAGATTCATAAGCATATAAATCAGTCCATTCATGAACCGTCTGATAGTAGGCATGGGTCGGTCACCACTGTCATTGAACGCTAGAGGCACGGTCGAGATCGACCTGACCTGGTCCACTTGCTTCTCCAAGTAAGGGTGGTAGCCTATGGAGCTGACCAGGATCCAGGGCACTTGTTGGATGGCTGCGTACCTGGAAGGAGGGAGGTCATGTATTTGGGTAGATAATTTAACTTATGTTATTTTTAAAGCCCTATTTTAAGGATGGAAAATCATCCAATGACTTCTCCCGTCTGGTTAAGGCGGGAGGAAGCGTCAGACTCTTACTGACTAAAAAACACCCCGTTCCTTCTGCACTTCGAGCTGGAGCCCCAGTAACCTGTTAGGTTCTCCGCGGCTCCGTAGCGGCATCAGCCCTAATTGGGCCCCATCCGTGGTGGTCTGATGGCTGTTTGAGGCGCGCGCCGTACGCTCGGGTATTTTAAAGTCCTAGACGGACATATATATGACCAGATTGGCGATATACTAAAGAAGCGCCAAATTAAAAATACCAGTAACCGAGCATGCATGAAAAGACTGAAGATTGTTATAGGCCACATATTATCGTGCTATCACCTACGGGAGAGGAGCTGTGAATCACTTTCCCACGCGGACGAAGTCGTGGGCACAGCTAGTATATATAGATAAACGGTGAACTTCATAAAGTTATTGCCGTAGTCTAGATATTTCTCAAATTAAAATTACATTCCGGTGTGACTGAGAAGTCATCATCATCAACAGTCTATAAATGCCCACTGCTGAGCAAAGCCTCTTCTCACACGGAGAAGGTTTGAGCATTAATCACCACGCTGGCTCAATGCGGGTTGGCGATTTCAAACTTATAATTAGAAATTATAGCCCAGGTTTCCTCACGATGTTTTTTCTTCACCGTTTGTGAGTGGTGTCTAAATAATCTTAGAAAGTACATATAACTCGGAAAAAGTCACATTGGTACTTGCCGTTGGTAGGTTTCGACACGCACCCTCATGCATGAGAAGTGGGCGTCTTAAACCTCCGGGCCACCACGACATCCTCGACTGAGAAGTATTAACAGTCAATAAAATAAAAACTCACCCAGCTTCAAACTCGTTCATGAACCATATAGAGATGACGGCATCAAACTGCTGTTCCACCACCACCTTCTGGAGTTCAGGATGCTGAGCGGTTTCCATGGAGATGTTCCGGGCAAACTTCCTTATGTACTGGAAGCCCGCGTCGCTTTTACCCATGATGTCCTCCGCTAGGAGAGGATGAACACAATGTTTAATCTATTCATTTGTAAAACTGACTGCTTCGTTGGCCGAGTGGTCGCAAGTGCGACTGCCGGCCAAGGGATCTGGGTGCTTACTCTTGAAACCAATCTCAATGTCAATGCAATTTCAATCCAATCAAATCTTAATAATTATCCAATGTCAAAACTATACAACCCCTATCGTAGCTGCTAAAGTAGCATTTAGAGTACGGAATATAAAACCAAATTCAATACCATTTAGTTCATGAAATATCCACGCAATACGGATGCAAAAGGCGCTAGTATTACAACTCAAGAGTACGAAATTTCACAATGTCAATGTCGATCGATCGGAATTGGATTAAAGAGTAAGCACCCTGGGGTTCGTACCCGAGATGGGCAAAGTATTACTGAGTTTAAAAAAAATTGTCAGTAGTTGCACGGAGTCTGGAAATTGTGCCCGGTATATGTCGACAGGCTCACCCCCTATTACATGGGACTCATAACTTAAATAGGGAAAAGTGGGTGTTACATTGTATAGTGCCATTAATTGCCGTAATGTGCACCTCTGCCTAAATTTTCGGGGATAAAGGGGGGATGACAATGTTGTAAAATTATGCTTGAAGATTCAAACACTGCTGTATTCACAAACACCAATTTGCCGCGATTAAATACACTAAAAGTTTTTAACCGACTTCCAAAAAAGGAGGAGGTTCTCAATTCGACCGTATATATGCTTTATTTTAACTTGTATTGTCTGTTCCGTTGTCGTGGTCGCAAACATGCAAGTTTGGTTATCTAGTCGGGCAAAGTGTTATTTGATTATTTAGAAAATTTCTGGAATCTAGAAATGTGTATGATATAATGCTTCTCATGCATGAGAGTGCGGGTTCAAAGTCTAGCAACGGTATACCTACTAATGTGACTTTTTCCGAGTTATATGTACATTCTAAGATTATCTAGACACCACTGACAAACGGTGAAGGAAAACATCGTGAGGAAACCTAATTATAGGTAAGTTTAAACTCCGATGAGAAATTAAAAGTAGTTTCCGCTAGAGGGCGCGATGGGCTTTTTTTTAAGGGGGGAAAATCATCGAATGACTGCTCCCGCCTGGGTGAGGCGGAAGGGAGTGTCAGACTCTTACTGACTAAAAACCACCCCGTTCCTTCTCCTGCACGTCGAGCCGGAGCCCCGGTTACCCGTTAGGTTTTCCGCGACAGGGCGCGATGGGCTAGTACCGCAAGTAACAACACCAACGCAAGCGCAACGTGCGCGGCTGCGCGACATCGCACGCGCATGTAGCTCATGAGGAAGTGTTGGCTCGAAACTAGTGAAGCTTATCTCAGTATATTCACGTGAGTTACTTTAATATGTCTTATCATAGTTATTATATATACAAGGTGTTGTTTTAAAGCCGCGTCATTTTCTAGGAGGTAACCCGGATATCGATTCTGAGTCCGAATCAATGAAAAAAGCTGTAGGTTAATATTTTTCGTTTTTCTGAAATTACGGAAATCCGTTAGTGCGAAGTACAGGCCGCCGTCTTGTAACTAGCTTTATAACGCGGCTTAACACACACAAACTCATACATGTAATTGATATTATTCCTAATTCCGTTAAACTCCAATAAGAAACATTGCTATCGCTTATTCTGAAATACTGTCGAACTTAAACGATTTATTATAGCCGTATTTTTAACTATTGGCCCGAAATTTTCTCTTACATTTAACCTTTATGACTTCTGTGACATGCCCCTGAGAAATGACACGGTTTCAAAACTACACCTTGTATAAATGAAGTAAATGAATTTAAATTTGAAAATATAAGTGCTTACATTCAACAAATCCCCGTATCTCTTTCAGTTCAATCACAGTTAAGTTTTCATGCATATTCTTTTTCTCATACGGCGTGGCCCATGTAACCTGAAAAATGTAATATTTTTAATTAGCGTTTCATTATGTTCGGTATAATAGCTAGATGTATGGTTGCTGCATAATATGAGTTTGATATCTATATCTATACATCTATATTCTATATCTATATCTATATAGAAAAAAAGAAAGAAAAACCATTTATTTTGCTATATACATATACGTACATACATACATATAATAAAATTGTAGAAAAGTGCTGTCTGTACATTGAAAATAAAAATAAAAAAAATAGCAGGGGTTATTGTTATGTCGATGTCGAACCCAAAAAAGTAATTAACTTTTTTTTTGTCTGTTTGTCTGTTTGTCTGTTCACGCTAATCTCAGAAATGGCTGATTCGAGTTGGATGCGGTTTTCACGAATATATTGTGGTATGCTTCAGTTATGCTTGAGTGTTTGTTTCATGTCAATCGGTTCATAAATAAAAAAGTTATGTCAAATTAAAGAATCACGTCGAACACTATTCTATGCTTATAAATACAAAATGATTGTGATTATGATCCAAAATAAAAATAAGTATATATTTAAAAAAAAAAGCGAGCACAGCTAGTAGGTAATAAAAGTCAATTATTTTGTCAATTGTGCACTTGCCAACTAGTTAAATTCAATACTTTTTTCGAACTGTCAAAAACGACAGTTTTCTATGAATTTTGTACGAGATTGTGTATTGTGACGTCACGTTTTTTAGCGTCAAACAGCATAGGTACTTATTTTAACAATTGGAACAAAAATTAAAATGAAGTTGGTAATAAAATCGATTAATGAAAGTGTGATTATTCTATTATCCTTCTCTGGACTTCTACGAACATTTCAAGACCAAAATTTGCTAAATCGGTTCAGCCGTTTCGAGTTTTAGCGAGACTAAAGTCAAAGTCAAAGCATTTAAAATTTCAATTAAACCATATTTTGGTACAACAAATACAAAATAAATAATAGTCCGTCAGTCAGTCCGTTAGTGAAGCTAGGTGAAGCTAGGTGCTCATTACAAATTGTAGATTCGAATGGAGAAGAACAAGCAAGAAACTCCAATCGTTACTCTTTTTTATTTATATACATCCTTACTATTATAAATGGGAAAGTGAGTTTGTTTGTTTGTTCCGCCTTCACGCCGTAACTTCTAAACCGATTGCTTTGAATTTTTGCAGACGCAAAGTTAGAAGTCCGGATTAAATAATAGGGTACTTTTTAACCCGGAAAAATTTGATATTCCCGAGAGAAAACAAAAATATTGGTATAGATGGCGCTGTGTATACACACCGCGCGCTGTGTAGCCTATACCAATACTGGTATAGGCTACTTTTATCTTCGTGACGCGAGCGAAGCCGCGGGTAAAAGCTAGTAGATTATAAAGCTAAAGAGTTGGCTGGAACCAGTAGTTTAGGAGAAAAGCAATTGAAAAATTCGATCTACCAGTTACCGACTTAATTTTAATCTAAAACCTCACCTGATGACCAGCCTTCAGAAGCGGCTTCACGATGCCCAGAGACAGATGGTCATGACTCTTCGAAGGTACAGGAAGGATGCACAGGATCTTGTACGCAAACCCACTGGAGAGACACAGCATCAGCGCTGCTAATGTAGCCTTCATTGTAATCGGCTGTTGTCTGAAAAGAGTGGGTTTTTTTAAGGGGAGAAATCATCGAATGACTTCTCCCGCCTGGGTGAGGCGGGAGGGAGTGTCAAACTCTTACTGACTAAAAACCACCCCGTTCCTTCTCCTGCAAGTCGAGCCGGAGCCCCGGTAACCCGTTAGGTTCTCCGCGACTCCGAATCGGCATCAGCCCTGTTGGGCCCCATCCGTGGTGGTCTGATGGCTCTTTGAGGCGCGCGCGGAATGCGATCCGATGTACGCTCGGGTCTGTTTCTGGTCGGACGGGGAGCCACCCATGCTCGCCGTCCGCAGGCTCACGCAAAAGAGTGGGTTAGCAATAATAAATAACAACAAATTTGCGTTCAAAAGAACGGACTTCAAATTCTAGTTTCAATTGTGTCAAGCCATGCTAGAGGCTCATGTTCATATGAGCAGCATTCCGCGACCCGCGACGCGGGGACTGTCACTTCCTTACCTTTTAAACCTTCAATGGACTTCCGCAAATAATACAAGAAGAACACTAATGTAACGTAATATGTCCGTCCATGAATGTTTTTTTTTACTAAAAAAATGTCATCGTAATTTTTTATTTTTACTTTATACATCGGCAGTAGGGTGAACTCATCTAACTTCGTGACAAAGGCATTTGAGTAATAAAATACCAATAAATTATTAATTAATTTAGAGGTAATTCAGCCTCCGCATGAGTTTTAATCAGTCTTTTATGAGGAATATTAGCACAAATAATCCGATTTTTTTCTAGAAACCTAAGAGTTCTACCAAATAAACTAAACCGAATTATTAGGCGAGTCACAGAATTAGATGAGTTCACTATACTCCTTATGGTATATAGTGTTGTCGCGAGACGAAAACTAAATAGATTCCACGGTATATAGTGTTCACTTATAATTATGAGATCATATACTAAATTAAGAGTAAAGAAGCTTACAAAATACAGGAAAAATCTAAATATTTACCTTGTATCATTAAGATATATAATACGTTGCGCATAGACGCTGAAGCGAGGCTGTTCACTCGACGATATAACATATACTGTCAATCCTGATAAATTAGAAACGTGTAATATATGTATATACAGATATAGAATATTATCTGATAAGTTGGTTACCTAGATACTACTTTTGTGCGCGGTTTCGTTCGTCTTCCATAGTGACTTTAGGTAGATTTTTTGTCTTATCTTTTGGCAAGGTCTATTCTTATTTCGATTACAAAAACGTATTTAATGCGGAAGAGTTAGTTTTTTGTTTGTTTGTTTGAACGCGCTAATCTCCGTAACTACAAGTCTGATTTGAATAATTCTTTTTGTGTTCGATAGTGCATTTATCAAGGATGGCTATAGGTTATAAAACATCACGCTACGACCAATAGGAGCTGAGCAGAGCGTGTGAAACCGCGCGGAAGTAGCTAGTTTATAAATTAAATTACAACGTTGCTCCAACATTAGTATTTTCTCCTTAATCGTGTGTGTGTTTACAAACATACAAGTTCACATACACATGACACCCAGACCCGGAACAACGATTTGTGGATGACACAAAGAGTTGCATCGTGCGGGAATCGAACCCGCTGTACTTTGAGTGCCCAGCCACCGCACCAACCGTGCCGTCAAGTCAATACGGTACATGCCAACTAGTCAAATTCAATACTTTTTTCGAACTGTCAAAAACGACAGTTTTCTATGAATTTTGTACGAGATTGTGTATTGTGACGTCACGGTTTTTTAACGTCAAACAACGTACTTATTCCTTAAACAATTGCTGGAAAAATACTAAAATGAAGTTGGTCATAAAATCAATTAATGAAAGTGTGGTTATTTTTTAATATTTTATTGTATAGAACGGTCGAAATAATTTATTTTTGATTTAGGCAAGTAACCAATTGAAATTGTTAAATGATTTTGACTTTAGGCACTATTCAGTCAGTCTCAATTCAGTCAGAGTCAGTCCAGTGATGTAATGACATACATAATATCACGCCTTTTATCCCCGAAAGGGTAGGCGGAGGTTCACATTACGGCATTTAATGCCACTGTAATGTAACACCCACTTTTCACTATTTATGTTATGAGTCCCATGTAATAGGGGGTGAGCCTATTGCCATATACCGGGCACAGTTTCAGACTCCGTGCTACCACTGAGAAAAACCCAGTAATACTTTGCCCGACCCGGGAATCGAACCAGAAACCCTTGCCCGGCAGTCGCACTTGCGACCACTCGGCCAATGTGGCAGTGATGTAATGATTCACAAACAAACTCGCTATCACATTATAATATTAGTTAAGACCGCTGTATCATATTTTTTATTTTACTCAATGGATTATATGAGTACTGATAAGAATTTCTTAATGCTAGCGTTGACGCATATTTGGTAATGTTTTTTTAAATAGTCATTCTTTTTAACCGACTTCTCAAAAAGGAGGAGGTTATTGATTGTACCCGATGTACCGGTTAAAAAAGAAAGAAAGAGAGAAAAAGGCATTTATTTGGCAAACTAGCTTCTACCCGCGGCTTCGCTCGCGTCACAAAAGGATAAAAAGTAGCCTATGTGACACATTACAATACACACAGCGCCATCTATACAAATAATTTCGTTTTTCCTCGAGAATATAAAATTTTTCCAGGATAAAAAGTACCCTATTATTTAATCCAGACTTCTAACTTTACGTCTGCAAAAAATCAAAGCAATCGGTTTAGTAGTTACGGCGTGAAAGTGGAACAAACAAACAAACAAACAAACAAACTCACTTTCCGATTTATAATATAAGTAAGGAAGTAAGGATGGCAAACAAACAAAGATTATGAAAAATAAAAATACAGATACTTAGGTACATCTTTATATATATAATTCTTCTGTGAGTGTGTATGTCACTGAACTTTTCTCAAACGACTGGACCGATTTTGATGAAATTTTTTGTGTGTATTCAAGGGGATCTGGAAATGGTTTAGATTCATAAATCAGTCCGGCAGATGGCGCTGCAGTCGATGTTTAGGTTATTTATCCTAAACAGCTGAACTAATTTGAATGAATTTTTGTTTATACATTCAAGTGGATATGCAGGACAACGTCTGTCGGGTCCGCTAGTAAATACATAATATTAATAACAAACTTAAAAGCGGAAATAAAAGAACAAAAATCATCAAAATATAACAAAATAATGTACATACAATAAGAAACAAATACAATAAGTTTTTGATATAAAGACAAACTAAATACGATTTTAAGTTCAAATATTTTCGACCTCTATTACATTGGACGGTGATGATATGATGCAGGTTCGAAACTTGGCAAGTGCCAATGTGACTTTTTCCGAGTGAAATGGATACAATTTTATAAGATTACTAGCGACCCGCCCCAGCTTCGCGCGGGTGCGATATGCATGTATTATACATATTAACCATCCTTAAGAATCACTCTATCTATTAAAAAAACCGCATCAAAATCCGTTGCGTAGTTTTAAAGATCTAAGCATACATAGGGACAGACAGACGGCGGATAGCTGCTTTGTTTTATAGTATGTAGTGATTTAGATACATCTGACCAACGGTATTCCTTCAGAAAACCTGGACTTATTATACCCGCATTGAGCAAGCGTGGTGATTATGTTCAAACCTTTTCCGCCTTTACTCAGCAGCGGTCACTTTTATACTCTTGATTATAACCTAATTCCGATCCCCAAACTATCAACCAAGGTTGGTGATTGTAGTAAACTCCAAGTCGCCTGCCAACCATGAGGATTAAAGTAAGGCTTTATTTTTTATGGGATAAGCGTCAGCTTATCGTCAGTTTCTCACAAACGAGCAGATAGATCACCTGATGGTAAGCAATCAGCGTCTTCCATGGACTCCTGGAACACCAGAGGCGTTACAAGTGCGTTACCGGCCTCTTAGGGATTAGGAATTTGAGGATTATTTGGGATTCAGGGATTAGGGAGATTGGGGGCGTAATTGAGCCTCCGTTAACCTCACTCATGCGACGAAACAACGCAAACGTTGTTTCACGTCGGTTTTCTGCTCGGCCGTGGTATCACTCCGGTCGAGCCGGCCCATTCGTGCCGAAGCATGGCTCTCCCACACTTAGAATTATATTCACCAGTAGAGGACCTCCAGCTAGATGATTATGCCATATTAGGTATAGTATTATCAAGTTAATTAGCTGATGAATCGACAACAATTCATTTAATGACTCATCTCATTCACATCACCGACTATAGTCAAAAGTAAGCATGACTTGGTTTTTATAATCATTATTAAAAGTAGCTTGTGGATACGATATTGATTAGAGGTATATCTACATAATCACACTTAGATTATACATATGTGAAAGTTTGTTTGTTTTGATGTTTATCCGTTAATCAGCGAACAGTTTAGGAATGGAACACCTTGCCGGAATCTGTGTTCCCCGACAAATATAACTTGGGAGTCTTCAAGTCCTGGGTGAACACGTTGCTCATAGGTAGGCGAACTCCATCGTCGACCACATCATCGCTTACCACCAGCCGAGATGGTGGCCAAACGTCGGCCCATCAAGTGTAAAAACCACGTTTTTTATGGCATAAGCCGGTAAGATAACCGACGGATCACCTGATGGTAAGCAATCGGCGCCGCCCATGGACACCCGAAACACCAAGGCGTTACAAGTGCGTTACCGGCCTTTTGGGAATTGGGAATTAGAGTAATGTGGAGGATTCGGGGATTCGGGAGACTAGGGAGGGGGGTAATTGGGCCTCCGGTAACCTCACTCATAATACGAAACACAACGCAAGCGTTGTTTAACGTCGGTTTTCTGTGACGCCGTGGTATCACTCCGGTCGAACCGGCCCATTCGTGCCGACGCATGGCTCTCCTACACATATCGTCCGTGCGTCACTGCATGGGTGCCCACTGAAAATCAGTGCTGGGTAACCTGTATGCCTGGCTTATACTGAGTGGGTGACCCTCTTAGCATAGGCATGTTGTCAGCGTCTCTTTTCTAATTCTTCTGTTTCATTTTTTCAACTCTTATATTTTTATTACTTCCACTGTCACACCTTGATTGTCTTTTTTTTATTTATCCTGCATCGTGCCTGGTGCTAAATAAATGTTTTTTCTTTCTTTCTTTCTTTCTTTATTTTTTTCTTACATAAAATTTTATTTAACTTAGGTGTGTTCAAGTCCTGAGTGAACAGGTTGCCCATAGGTAGGCGTGCTCCATCGTCGACCATATCATCGCTTACCACCAGGCGAGATGGTGGTCAAACGTCGGCCCATCAAGTATGAAAACACGTAGAAACTACTGAAAGGATTTTTATGAAACTTGGTATACAGGCAGGGTATAGGCTCACTGAGGTTATAGGACAGTTTTATCCCGATTAAATGCTTTCATGGGATAAAACTGGATAATATTGTACGCGGACGACGTCGCTGGCAACAACTAGTTTATAGACGTACGTATCTCGTACATGTTAAGAAGTAAATTATGGCCGCGTGTACGTAAGATAGCCTATGACGGTAGAGTGGGATACAGTTTTATCAGCTTAATTTTTTTGTGAGTGTCGTAAATAAGAGTCGCCTATAATACCGTAGATTTAATACAGCGATCAAGGGCATTAAAAAAGGCGTACGTAGTATATTAAAACAACTACTGTGGCACCTGGCTATTATAGACTTACACGCAGCACACACACATTGACACGAAGGACATCTGTCAAAACGTGGTAAAACATTACACACGCACACACATACATATAAACCACTGACATTTTGGTGCTTCAATCACTTATAAGTGACATCATGTCCTCTTTTACTGCTTCGTTGGCCGAGTGGTCGCAAGTGCGACTGCCGGGCAAGGGGTCTCGGGATCGATTCTCGAGTCGGGCAAAGTATTACTGGGTTTTTAAAAATCTCAGTAGTAGCACGGAGTCTGGAAATGTGCCCGGTATATGGCAATAGGCTCACCCACTCTTAAATGGGACTCATAACAAAAATAGTGCGTGTTACATTGTACAGTGGCATTAAGTGCCGAAATGTGCACCTCTGCCTACTCCTTCGGGGATAAAAAGGCGTGATGTTATGTTATATCCCCTTTTTTAACGTCCTTGACAGAGACAACACCGCTTTTAAGACCCTTCAAACTGCGACCTCCAACTTATCTACCAAGCGCAGATTATGGTAAACCAATTATGTAAGTGCCAATGTGGGATGCGAATTCAGCAGTCATTGTGCCGATAGTCGTATCTGCCAATGGCCTCATTGCTAAAAGCCTCGACCAACATCTGAGTAGGCTAGCGTTAGATGGTTGGGTCAAGGGCCTGATGCAGAAAGCAGTACTTCTGGACACGGCGCGTATTGTCCGGAAATTATTTTCTCTGGAGCCCTGACCACCGGTAGCTTGGATTTCTTTTTATATTACTTACTTACTGCTTTTTATATTATTTTTTTTTAAATTATTAAATAAGTATTTCATTGCCTGCCTCGTTGGGCGAGTGGTCAGGGGTTAACGGGTAAGGGGTATCGGGTTCGATGCCTGAGTCGGGCAAAGTACTACCTTCTGGTATTTTTTTTAAATGTCTGTTGTAGCACGGAGTCTGGAATTGTGCCCGCTATATGGCAATAAGCTCACTCCTTATTACATGGGACTCATAACATAAATAGTGAAAAGTGGGTGTTATATTGTACAGTGGCATTGAGTGTCGCAACGTGCACCTCTGCCTACTCCTACAGGGTTAAAAGACGTACGCAACAAGTATAAAAAATAAATAAAGAGAACAAAACAAGCTTCTTAAACTGTCAAACACCAAGCTGTCACCGGTGACCGCGACCTATTGTTCTTTAATTGTGTCTATAAAACCGGTACTCGACGAGTTAATTAGTAACGCGGGCGAAGTCGCTGGCCGAAGCTAGTTGATACGTGAAAATTTTAGATAATTATATAAGTCAGTTGCAAGATTGCAACAAACAGACTTTGCGATGGGACAATGGCATTAAAGATTAGATAAACAAATATAATATTAATGTACACACAGCACTTTTGTATCTTTAGTATTATCTATTTATATTTTAGTGATTATGTCTGTTTAATTAGTCTTGTGTGTCATTCATATAAATAGTCTTGTTAATCAGGTACTTGAATGCATGGCACACTTCATATTGTGTATTAACTCCCGGCTACCGGTATATGAGACCCAATAAAAAATATATCATGCCGCAATACTCAAGCAATTTTAAGTGTAGGAGAGCCATGCTTTGGCACGAATGGGCCGGCCGGAGTGATACCACAGCCGAGCAGAAAACCGACGCGAAACAACGCTTGCGTTGTGTTTCGTCGTGTGAGTGAGGTTACCGGAGGACCAATTACCGCCCCCCACCTCCCCAATCTCCCCTATCCCTTAATCCCCAACAATCCTCAAATTCCTAATCCCCACAAGGCCGGTAACGCACTTGTGGCGCTTATAGTGTTCCAGGTCTCCATGGGCGATACCTGATAGTAAGCCGATTACTTACTATCAGGTGATCCGTCTATTTGCTTACCGGCTTATGCTACAAAAAATGCAAGCCTTGGAATCATTTAGTGTGACGTAACACCCAAACTACCCCTTACTTGTACTGTTAGATGTCACTGGTGATTATTGAAAAATGGTTATTGAAAACAAAAATGATTCTAAGTGTAACTGGTCTAACCGATGATCATCATCAATCAGTGTGGCTGATAGGCTGAGCTCAATGGCGATAAAATAATACTATTGGAGAGGCTTATGTCCAGCAGTGGATGAGAACGGGCTGTTGATGATGATGATGATGATGATGATGATGATGAAACTATAGTACCATGTGATACTCACTACTCCTACCAGGATGAGCCTCCGATCACCTCACAGACAAGAAACAACGCTTGCATTGTTTCACCTACATTATGAAATGCCTGTTTTCGATGAGGCCGTAAAACCTACGTACATATAAATAATTTGAAAAAGAAAACTAGGTTTGGGGTAATTTAAATGAAAATTCGTTTTATTTAAGTTTCTTTATTTGCTAATATTACTTGTCTAATATTAATGACATTTTTTACAGGTTGATGTTTCTATTGCCGTATTGGCTCTATGATATGAGTGTGAACCTCGTCTGCTATTTAAAACCCTAATATTTAAAAATAACATTAATAAATAGTTTAAATATTTACACTATAACTTGTATTATACTAATTTACATTCTAATTATTTACAACAGTGCGAGGTATTTTTCGAAAAGTATCAAAAACTCTTTAGTCCTTTGTTCGTTTGACAACCTGTGGACGTTGACCTCTCCTGCCGGCGTTAGGAGAGCCTGCAAGACAAAATACCAAATATTAATTCCTTGTAAATATATTTATTTACATTAGTTATAAGCGATGTTATTACATCGCTTATAACTGTTGCCAAAATTATAGATAGATTGCCATATAGATTAAGCCTTGTCAACAATTAATTAGGTCACATGTAGAACTAAGTTTTTAATCCGACAAACCAAGGCTTATCTATAAACCCTAATTTTACCGAACATAAAATGCGCCGAAATACTAAACCCATAACTCGTAGCTCGTAGCGCGTAGTCCGTAGCGCTTAGTTCGTAGTTCATAGGGAGGTTCGTAGCATCCAGTTTGTATCGCATAGATAGACCGTAGTATGTAGTTCGTAGCGCGCAGTAGCGTTAGCTCAGCTACGAGATTCACACCTGGAAACTCAACTACGCGCCACAGACTACGTGCTACGAACTATGCGCTACGTACTACGCGAAACGAACTACGCGCTACAAGCTACGGCTACAGTATTTCGCTGCTATTTGAGAAATTACATAATGTGTAAGCGGTGGTTAGAGCCTGCCACTGTTCCGTTAGACTGTAAGAGTGTGCCTGAGGCCTAGACAATAAAAGTGCTTTCATATTTTAACTTTAAAATGTTATGTTACTTACAAGCGAACTATCAGCAGTCATACAACCTCTGGCCACGGCATCACCCGTCCACTTAGCGTGTATGTCACTGTATGATAGCTCCCATTGTACCATGCTCTCATCTTGTAGACAGGCGAATATACAGCAAGGGTTTATATGGGACCAGGATAGTGATATTACTGATATCTGCAAAAAGAAACATAGGAAGTGTAGAAAAGCAGACTACAGCCATCATCAGCCGAGAGGCGTCCTTTTACACTTATGTCGAAATACTCTAACGCCAAAAATTGGGTTTTAATAGTGGGTTATTGGGCTTCCGGTAACGTCACTCACACGACGAAACAGAACGCAAGCGTAATTGTTTCACGTCTGTTTTCTGCTCGGCCGCGGTATCACTCTGGTCGAGCCGGCCCATTCGTGCCGAAGCATGGCTCTCCCACACTTGAAATAGCGAGTGTTGTGACTCCGATTGAGTAACTCACCGACAAGACACGCATCAGTCATTAATTGATAACACGCTATTCTTGGCGGACCCAACCTTCCTCGTAAATTTCCGAAACGGGATAATTTGTCGTATTTTTTTATGGAATCGGAGGCAAACGAGCTGACGGATCACCTGATGGTAAGCGATCAGCGCCGCTCATGGACACCCGCAACACCAGAGGAGTCACAGATGAGTTGCCGGGCTTTTAAAAAAGAGTACGCTCTTTTATTGAAGGTTTGAAAGTCGTATCGGTTCGGAAATATCGCCGACGACTATGTGCTCTGGAGCCCTCAACTTACTGGAAATTGTTACTACCTCTATATCTTTAGTGAAACAGCCTCACAGAAAACCGACGTGAAGCAACGCTTGCGTTGTGTGTCGTCATGTGAGTGAGGCTACCGGAGGTCCAATTACCCTCCCGTTCCCCAATCTCCCCAATTCCTGAATCGCCAACGATCCTCAAAGTCCTAATCCCCAAAAGGCCGGTAACGCATTGGTAACGCCTCTGATGTTCCAGGTGTCCATGGACGACGCCGATTGCTTACCATCAGGTGATCCGTCTACTCGATTACCGGCTTATGCCATAAAAAAAAATATATTTCTATATTATCTACTTGTACATGCAATAACTTGTATATCATAACTTTGCTTATATTATTTCATAAAATACACAATTCATAACTACAAACTACAAAAATACTACTGGTTAACACCAAAACTTGGAGACGACTGTAGTGATAACGCATACATATAACAACACATAGGTGTCGCCACAATAAGCTCTTACTATATACTTTACAAGCGACCCGCCCCGGCTTCGCACGAGTGCAATATGCATGTATTATACATATAAACCTTCCTTAAGAATCACTCTATTAAAAAAAAACCGCATCAAAATCCGTTGCGTAGTTTTAAAGATATATGCATACATAGGGACAGCCAGACGGCGGATAGCAACTTTGTGTTATACTATGTAGTGACAAGCATAGGTTATAACCATTATCTCTGATCTAGACTACATTTGAAACCTTACATATACAGCATTTCAGAGTAGATCTATTTAAGTCTATCTATTGAAATAACATGAATGAACTATTACATTAGCCAGATTATATTTCGGTGCAACCTTCGCAACTCTTGGTCTTCCGTATCCAAATCCTATAGCCATGTCCACACAGCCGCCGTGACTGACAAACTGCACCATTAGATCCTAACACATGTTTAATCTATTTTACTTTTTTTTAATGGGACAAGCCCGCCACAACCTCCCAAATGAAAAAAGAACAGATTTTTATAAAAGACAAGAAAGATAAAGGCGTAGCTAAAGAAAAGATTAAGGTTGAGAAGGAAAAGATAGCTAAAGATGGGCAGGAAAGACAAAGAACTAAGACTAGAACTTTGGATGAGAGTGAAGTGAAGATTTTGACTGGAGTAGACAATAACGTGGAAATGAGAAACCTGTCTAAACGGCTCAGTGCTAAGCCGAAAGCTTTTTATATCGATTTGGAGGATGAGAAGCCTGCTAGGAGCAAAAAGGTAAGTACTAACCTATCGATACCAAAATCTGGATCGATCTAAGTAGGTGTTTTGCAAAATTTTGTTTTTTTTTAATGGGACAAGCCCGCCACAACCTCCCAAAACTGCTACAACTCCTGTAAGCCAGTATCTACAGTAGATACAACCATGAAAACACCGGAACACTGAAGTCCAACGTCCCAGGGACATGAATAACTGTCTTGGTTTCCGCAACGAAGTGAATAAGAAGATATTATAAGAGGAGAAGGAAAAAAAACGATAGTTTCCACTACCCTCGGTGAATTACTGCAGGAGACAGTGAATTAAGCCTAAAGGCACAAACAAGAGACTGTACAACTGGGTGAAGCCCAGTCGCCAAGAACCACGGAAATGTGACTAAAATCTAAGTGGATCCTATGTGTGAGCTGTTATACTTGCTTCCAGTAATAGGTATGGCAAAAGCGCCTTAACTATGTATTATATCTATTTTACTTATATAAAATTGCCTCGTTGGCCGAGTTCGATTCCCAAGTCAAGCAAAATATTACTGGGTTTATAAAAAAAATCTCAGTAGTAGCACGGGGTCTGGAATTGTGCTCAGTATATGGCAATAGGCTCACCCCCTATTACATGGGACTCAAAACATAAATAGTGAAAAATGGGTGTTATTTTGTACAGTGGCATTAATTGTTGTAATGTGCACCTCTACCTACCCCTTCGGGAATAAAAGGCATTATGTTACGTGTTAAAATTTTTGACCATATGCATGGATAAAACCGTGAGGAGGAAATAGCGAGTGTATAAATAGTGGCAGATCTTACCCGCGAGCTCCTAGTCACGCTGCTACTGCTGATGTACCGACCTTTATGGTCCGAATGGTGCTTCTCTATGTCCTTTGGTTGGATGTTCCTGTAATAAAATGACATATTTTGTTTCATTATTATGTACGAGCGGACCCGGGTAATTTCGTACCGTCTCAATATCTTTTCCCCACCCTTATCCGGGGCTCCGGCTCGACGTGCAGGAGAAGGAACGGGGTGGCTTTTAGTCAGTAAGAGTCTGACACTCCCTCTCGCCTTACCCAGGTGGGAGCAGTCATTTGATGATTTTCCCCCCATAAAAAAACTCGTGATATGGAACGCAGATCTATCCGAGACCCTCTGTATTTTCTATTCTGTCTCATATCCTAACATTCAATTAATTGGTTAATCCTTCCCTGAACTTTCATGTACATTTCAAGACTAAAATTAGCCAAATCAGTTCAACCGTTCTCGAGGTTTAGCGAGACTAACGAACGGAAATTCATATTTTCTCGCACGGAGAAGGTTTGAGCATTAGTCACCACGCTTGCTGAATACGGGTTGGCGATTACAAACTTATAATTAGAAATTATAAGCCCAGATTTCTTCATGATGTTTTCCTTCACCGTTTGTTAGTGGTGTCTAGATAATCTTAGAAAGTACATATAACTCGGAAAAATTCACATTGGTACGTGTCGTTGGTAGGATTCGCATTCTTAAGCATGAGAAGCAGGCGTAGCAACATGACATTTTTAGTCGTAAGGTTACCGGTGCTTGGTCAAATATCCTCTCTCTGTCTAAAAAGGTACTTGCAACTGCTCTAGTGTTCCAGGTGCCTATGCGCGGCGCCGATTGCTTACCATCAGGTGACCCATCTGCTCGTTATGCCCCCCTACGCTTACGCCAATAAGAAAAAACAAAAAAAAAACACGAATGAAGAAAAAACAAAAGACTTAATTCATTCTGTCTCAGTAGCAGTAATTCACCGAGGGAAGTGGAAACTATAGTTTTTTCTTTTCCTTTTATAATATCTTCTGATTTATTTCGTCGCGGGAACCAAGGCAGTAGTTCATGTCCCTAGAACGCGTTAGACTTTAGTGTTTCGGTGTTTTCATGGTTGTATTTACTGTAGATCCTGGCTTACAGGAGTTGCAGCGGTTTTGGGAGGTTGTGACGGGCTTGTCCCATTAAAAAAAGATGGATTTTTAAAAACCGCCTAGTCATCACCTTACAGAAGACCGACGTGAAACAACGCTTCCCTTGTTTTACGTCATGTGAGTGAGGTTACCGGAGGCCCAATCACCCCCCTCCCCAATCTCCAATAACCCTCAAATTCTTAATCTCCAAAAGGCCGGTAACGCACTTGTAACACCTCTGGTTTTTCGGGTGTCCATGGGCGACGTCGATTGCTTACCATCACGTGATCCGTCTGCTCGTTTACCGGCTTATGCCATACAAACAAAAACTAGTTAAAAGGTTTTCCAAAAATACACATATTAGTAACTGGAAGAAAAAACAAAGCAATTGAGTAGCGTCCAGGGTATCAAAATTAAAAATCTAATTTGTACATCAGTTAGATAATGAAAAAAATTAGACACGTATTTTTTATTTTCTCGTATTAAGTTACAATACTTAGATAAAATGGCGCTAAGTTTAGGAGTGGGAGGTCGTTACGTCATACCGTGCTACAAAATGTAACACGCTGTGACGTCACACAATATTTCAAATTAATATAATATCGTCGAAAGTATTTAATTTTGTGAGAAAAGAAAAAATACGTGTCTAAAGTTTTAAATTAATGTACCAGACGGACATTAAAATAAAATTTAGGAAACAACCCTATTATTCATTAAGTATTTGAGCAGCGTACTAACCTGCAGTCCAGTGTAAGTAGAACCCTGTTGTCTAATAAAGAACAAACACTGATAGTTCCAGTATCGGTCGCCGCCAAGAAGTATGGTAACTGATGGAATGAGACCTCTATACAGTTCACTGATGATGCGTCTGCTGCAAGTAAAAATCGAGAATTTAGAGGTAACTAGTTGGTCGTGTGTTCGATTCCCACGTCGCGTACATAAGATCGCAGTAAGACCTCAATAGGTCAGCGTTTAGCCACTATCTTACCTGATGGTAAGCGATGATGCGATCTACGATGGAGTACGTCTCATAAGCAACCTATTCATTCGTGTTTCGAAGAGAACTAGGTTATAACATAACGTCACGCCTTTATGAAACGGTAGGCGGCATTACGTCAGTTAATGCCACTGACTGTACAATGTAACACTTACTTTTCTCTATTTGTGTTATGAGTCTCATGTAATAGGGGGTTAGTCTATTGCCATATACCGGGCACAATTCCAGACTCCGTGCTACTACTGAGATTTTTTAAAAACCCAGTAATACTTTGCCCGACCCGGGAATCGAACCCGAGACCCCTTGCCCGGCAGTCGCACTTGCGACCACTCAGCCAACGAGGAAACAAAGAAAACTAGCTTATAACATAATGCCTTTTATCCCCAAAAGGGTAGGAGGTGCACATTACGGCACTTAATGCCACTGTACAATGTAACACCCACTTTTCAATATTTATGCTATGAGTCCCATGTAATAGGAGGTGAGCCTATTGCCATAAACCGGGCACAATTCCAATTAGCTTATATCCTTCAAGAAATACAACTCTGGCAAAGAATAGCAAAGGTTAGCGGAGTCCAAATTACTTCCTCTCCCATTGCCCAATGTCCCCAAACCCTTATTTCCCAACAATCCTCAAATTCCTAATCCCCAAAAGGCCGGTAACGCTTTTATAACACCTATGGTGTTCCAGGTGTCTATGGGCGACGCCGATTGCTTACCATCCAGGTGATCAGTCTGCTCGTTTACCGGCTTATTCCATATGAAAAATTTATCACAATGCTTACTTTATAAAGTGACTTGGTATTGTGTTAACGCCTTTTAAAAAAACATAGCAACAAACACAATCAGTGAATGATGTTTGTAGTAAATTGGAAGGCGCTTTTAGTTTTAAACTAACTTCTGCGTCTTAACTTATTTCTGTCACCAATTGCCTCGTTGGCCGAGTGTTCGCAAGTGCGACTGTCGGGCAAGGGGTCTCGGGTTCAATACCCGGGTCGGGTAAGGTTTTATTGGTTTTTTTTTAAAATAAAATTCTCAGTAGTCACACGGAGCCTGGAATTGTGCCCGGTGTGGAATAGGCTCACCCCCTATTATAGGGGGTGAGCCTATTCCCATAGAGTTCGAAAAAAGTATTGAATTTTACTAGTAGGCAAGTACCCTAATATAGACTACTAGAGCTTATTGTCATTATATTTACAAGAGTAATTCCAATTTTTTAATCAATTAAGTTTCCTGCATAACACATATTACCTATACAAATAAATAAAATTGAGGTGTCTGTTTGTAATATTAAAACAACCGTATTTTACTACATGCATATGAATATAATGTGTGTCGTATAATGCACACATACGACACACATACCAAAATAACATTTTTTACAATTTTTGTCTGTTTGCACTGGCTAATCTTTAGAATGGCTGGACCGATTTTGCAAGACTTCTATTAGCAGGTAGCTGATGTACTAAGGAGTATTTTGGAAAATTGAAACATAAAATGTTATTAACTAAAATCGCGGGTCACTCACGTGAATATACCGAGAAAAGCTCTACTAGTTTCGAACCACAGAGGGGTTCTTCTTAACGAAACTAGTAGAGCTTTTCTCAGTATATTCACGTGAGTAACCCACGATTTTAGTTAATTTAGTATGTCTCACGATAGTTATTATAAAAAAAGTTATGTTTTAAAATTCATATTCTGCGCGGACGAAGTCGCGAGCAACAGGTAGTGATAAATATATGTGTATGTGTGTGTGTGTGTATGTTAGTAAAATAATATTCTACTTACTTGCAATACAAAAAGTATTAACTTTAACAGTCCCTAGGATTCTTCTACAGCACAAAACTTCACCGCAATTCTTTGCTATCAAATAATAATCCCTATCCTTCCATGTCATAACTTTCAAATCACGACAAACAACACCATTCTCCCAATTTTTCGACACATTTTTTTCAACTGACAACACTCTTTTTATTTTACCACTGGCAGCACTGGCCGGCCTGTCAATGTCAAAATCCATAGACATGGCGGACTTTGGGCGGGAAACTACATTTTTAATTATAGATTTTTCTTGTTTTCTGTTTAACATCCTTCGTTTTGCGGCATGTAAGTTGAAGTCTAGTTTCAATTCGCCATTTTGGCATTTTATTGGCATGTCTATGTGATCTGTTAGCGTTATAGTTTGTAGTTTTTCGAGTTTCATTTTTGACCAAAACGCTTTGCCAATATCTGGGGGTACGATTTTTGACTTTTGTTGTACTATACACCATATTGATAGTATGCCTATGGTTTGGAGGGTGACCACCTGGAAATAGAAAAAGTAAAATATAAGAAAGTCTATCACTATCTTTAAGAGACAAGTGAGAGAACATTATCTTTCCTCTTGAAATATAGATTTGTTTGTCTATATATGTATTATAATTGTATTATATTAATTTGTCTTATTGTTTATTATTGTTATTTCTATTCAAAGTCAAAGTCAAAGTTATTTATTGCAAACATAGGTAATAAGTACATAATACAGGATGTAGCATATATAATAATAGTGCGCTATGTTTCGCCTGTCGGCATGCAATTAAGAAAATGTCAGATTCAATTTCTTTAGTGAGAAAAACAACATAAATGAACTAAATGATAACAATATGTATAATTAATAATGTCAAACAGAGAAGTCTATAAACACTACAATTATCAGTTCACAGTCATCTTACATTTATGTCAATATTAATTCTTATATTCAATACTATATAATATTACTATACAATAAATTCATAACCTAAGTTTAAATAAGTAGGTGTACGTTAATTATTTGCTAGATGGGTTTATATTGTAGGTACTCATCAACACTATAATAGGCCTTGTTTAGCATTATATCTTTAATTTTGCGTTTGAGTAAGTCATTATTCTTGATCTCTAGTATGTGCTCTGGTAAGTGATTATAAATTCGTGGTCCCATGCAGAATACACTTTTATTGAACATCATTGTGCTATGTATGATTTTGTTACTGTGACGCTTACATTTGAAATTCTTATACATATTTAAATTAGTCCTAATGTAGTTAATCACCTCACAAATATATAAACTAGGCAGCGTTAAAATTTTAAGGTTTTTGAAATGGGGCTTACAGCTATCAGACTGATTTATTTTGCAAATACTCCCAACGCACTTTTTCTACGCTAGAAACACACGTTGTTTATCTGTCTATTGGTTTCTTCGCTCTTATTACTTTTTTTATTAATTGATTTTTATCTTGTTTGTGTAACACACTATGTGCCTCAGTGTTGTTATTTCTTTTCTTGCCTCAGGCCCACAGGAAGAAATTCCAGTTGGAATATGTGGGGCCTATGTACTCTGTTTTTATATTATGTATTGTCCTCTATGTTGAATGTGTGTACATAAATGAATAAATAAATAAATAAAGATACCTGTCTATAACATAAGGTTAACGAAACCTTTGTTAACCTTCTTCACCTTTATTTCATGTGTTTTTTGTCGAGTGATAATTTTCGGGTTTAATGCCAAAACGATTTTAGTTTTTTGGTTTATTTTTCTTTATACAAGGTGTTGTATTAAAGCTGCCTCATTTTCTAGGAGGTAACTAGGCTATCGATTCTGAGTCCGAATCAATAAACAAAATTGTAGGTAAATATTTTTCATTTTTTGTAAATTACGGAAATCCATAAGTGCGAACTACACGCCGCCGTCTTGTAACTAGCTTTATAATACTGTTTAACACACACAAATTAAAACACGTAATTGATATTATTCCTAATTCCATAAAACTCCAACAAGAAACATTACTGTCGCTTATTCTGAAATACTGTCGAACTTAAACGATTTATTATAGCCGTATTTTTAACTATTGGCCCGAAACTTTCTCTTACATTGAACCTTTATGACTTCTGTGACATGCCGCCGAGAAATGACACGGCTTCAAAACTACACCTTGTGTAGAGTTATGAACTAATTTTAGTGTTCATTTACTGTATGTACAAAGACTTCATTTATTTAACTTTCGTGGCAGGCTTATGGTACTATTCCTTTAAAATACTCCAGCACAATCAAAAGGTTGACAACAGTGGACGTTTATAAGAAAAAAATCAAGACTTCAATACAGGATGCATATCAAGCTACCCCCATTCCCTCATTGAAAATCTTCAACAGAAATTCAACATTAACACCTAACACACAAAGCTCAAAATACCTACCTGACCCATTATCCTGCGACCTCCTTCCTGGCTGACTATACAATGCGCGTCGCCCGTCACTTCCAACCCGACGATATGATCTGTTACATCTCCATTGCTCATGTTGAAGGCACTGTTCGTGTAAGCACACGATTGTAATGCGCAATGTATGCAGGGCTGGAAATAAATTCATCGTCCATAAGCAAGCAGCCATAAGATTGGCCACTGCTGAACATAAGCACGGTAATATTATCATACAGTATTGTAACTCGGCAGCTTGACAGAGTTAAATACCTACAGCCGCGCGGTACGTAAACATGCGTTAGGGCTGCTCATCTCCAGCATTTTAATTACATTTGCCTACTTTCTGTTTCTATTTAGTTTTGTGATTTTTTTTTATGTAAACCGGTAAACGAGCAGATGGATCACCTGATGGTAAGCAATCGGCGTCGCCCATGGACACCCGAAACACCAGAGGCGTTACAAGTGAGTTACCGGCCTTTTGGGAATTAGGAGTTTGAGGATTGTCCCGAATCCCCATTCGGGGATTGGGGAGACTGGGGAAGGGGGTAATTAGGCCACTGGTAACCTCTCTCATACGACGAGACACAACGCAAGCGTTCTTTCACGTCTGTTTTCTGCTCGGCCGTGGCATCACTCCGGTCGAGCCGGTCCATTCCTGCCGAAGCATGACTCTCCCACACTTAACCATTAGTACATTGAATACAATTCTGCTATGGGAAATAAACAGTTAGTATGTGGAAGAAAAACCGACGCCAAACAACGCCAGCGTTGTGTTTCATCGCGTGAATTAGGTTACCGGAGGCCCACTCCCCCCTCCCAACCTTTCCCAACTTTCTCAATCCCTGAATCTCCAATAATCCTCAAATTCGTAATTCCCAATCCAACCACATCCCTCTGGTGTCCTTAGGTGGTGCGGATTGCTTACCATCAGGTGGCCGGCTTGCTTGCCGGCTTACCCCATAAAACATTAGTTAGCTACTTACTTTATCCAAACCAATATTGCTGTTCTTGTTATTCCACTCGCGATCCTTTTCTACCTCAGTTAGACCTTTCTCATTAATTTCTACCAATTTGGTAGGTTCTGCTTCACTGGTAACATCATCCCGCCACGTTGGTTCTTCTGACAGATCCCATAGATGAACTGAACTATAATCAATATAAAAATAATAATTATTAATAAGCAAATAAAGACATTTGATTTGATTTGAAAAAATGTATTTAAGTATTGCCTTATGGCCAAAATTAATTATAATTAATCGATTTTAATACGAAATCTTTGGAATAATGTGGATTCTTGATGTCAGTTCTATTTAGTTTTTGCCAAAAATCTGGATCGATTCAGCGTTTTTGTAGAGTGATCGTAATACCACTGCCAAGCAACAATATTATACTCTTAAAGACTTTTTTGATGACAGTATAATTAATTCTAAATAATAATTCTTAATATTAATACAAATTTTGTTAACTGTACTGTAATTTTAATATTATGTATAAACTGTTAATTAATAATAATAATTGGTTTTTTGTTTTTGTTCGTAAAAATTATATCAAAATGCTAGTATTGGTTTTTGTAATGTATTGTGATTCTGTAATGCTAATTTGTCATTTTTGACGTGACAACGTCTTATAAATTGGTTTGCCGGGTGACACTTCAAGAAACTACGTTACGCTCCGCTCACGTTATGCGCTCACAATGAGAGCGAGTGAGAGGCACGCGTCCCTTCCACTCGGGCATGGTTAGCCCGCCTAAGAGCGAGAGAGACAGACATCGTTGTCACGTAAAACTTTCGCCCGTATACCGCCTTAACATGCAACCAATTTTTTTTGTATTAAAATTATATATTTCCTTGCTTTGCCATTTTACAGTAATCTATATTATTCTATGTTACCACCTAAGTAAAACATTGTGGAACGCAATAAAGAATTTGAATTTGGGTATCGAGTTTGATTCTGTCAGTAAAAATACCAACATACGGTTCTAGTTTCTATGCCAAAAATTCTAATATAACCTAAGAAAGGAACTCAAAACTTTACTTTGCAGTCGTCCTTTCGCGACTACTCCATCATCGAAATTTGGCTTTCCAATAAATTATTGTAAGGCTACAACACTTTTTTTTTTGTTAAACTTTGCTCCACTCTAGGATTTTCTCCTATGTCGTGGGTGCTTTTAAAACATACAATATCACATACAAATGACACCCTGAACCGGAAAAATAATCCGTGGATCACACAAAGAGTTGTTCCGTGCGGGAATCGAACTCGCGACACGTTACGCGGCAGCCAGTTGCTCAGCCACCGCGCCAACCGTACTGTCATTACATTTATAATGTCATTACACATTTACTAGGTACTCACCCATCTTCCAAAGCACCTACAAAGTAACCGTCAGAGCTTCCTCTTAACCGTCCTTTACACACGTCATCTACAGCTGTCAGTAGTTTTAAAGGTTCTTGAGTGGCAACAATGATGTTCCATAGACAAATCGTACACTTCTTTAACGCGGCATTCTCATCCGTTCTATGCACTGTCATTAACAAATTCGAATTCGTGTCAGAAAAACACATTTTCGATATTTTCGTTTTTGATAAAAACGTCATTGATTCTGATGTTATATTCTTCGTAGAAACAGACACATAACCTCTACTGAAAGGCAAGTTTGAAATATTCAAATCTGACAGTTCAGTGTTGCCGTTATTCGCGTTCAAAATACTACTAATCTTACTCTCGTGTCTTTTTAAAAACTTTGCTAATCTGTGTGAGTTATAATCGTTGTCTTTTAATTTTGATTTATAAGTCTCGTACGGCAACATTTCGCTGGGACCGACGCCATCTTTTTGTTCGAAATAAATACGTAACGGATCCATTTTATAATTTTCATCCAAGTTAATCTCATTATTCCTTTCAATATTTACATTACTAGCTGTCAAAAACGTAAATTTCGTTAGATAATCTTCGGTATTCTTGCTATATTTTCGATTTACAACTTTTTGTTTTATACAAATATCATTTTTGGTGAATTCAACCGGATGCTGCGTCCATTTATGAACTGTCTCTATTTCATCCGTTTGTATTTCTTCTGAGATTCCATCTTCGAAAGTCTGTACCGCTATTTGGGTGTAATTTGTTCTACCAAATGTTGCCATATATAGATCATAAGATATTGGTTTCATTTCAAAGAGACTGTAAGACATTTCATGCAGTGTAATTATGCTTAAAAGATCTCTAGCGCGTTGTCTTAACAAGTCTCCAATACGTTTCTTTCGTCGATTTTCTTTGGATTTTGTAAAATCAATGAAGAGTGGCCTGGAAAAAAATGATATCATTAATTTATAATAACTATCGTGAGACATACTAAATTAACTAAAATCGCGGGTTACTCACGTGAATATACTGAGAAAAACTACTAGTTTCGAACCACAGCGACGACGTCGCCAGTAACCCGCGATTTTAGTTAATATCATTTATTGTTGAAAACTATCTTGTTGTTCGAGTGTTCGCAAGTTGCTGCCAAATTTATTTTTGCAAGTGGTATATAGTTCAATTCTTATCTGGTGCAAAGTTCCGTTAATATATTCGAATTTTGGAAATTCCCAGTAGCAACATGGAGGAAACTTCAAAGTCTACTATTGTGAGCCCTGATGGGGGCTTGAAAGTAATCAAAACCCTTTGATAGTGTCAGTAGGTCTATATTTTAATTTAACACACATTAACATAACATCACGCCTTTTATCCCCGAAGGGGTAGGCAGAGGTGCACATTATGCCACTGTACAATGTAACACCCTCTTTTCACTATTTATGGTATGAGTCCCATGTAATAGGGGGTGAGCCTATTGCCATATACCGGGCAGAATTCCAGACTTCGTGCTACTACTGAGAATTTTTTTTTAAAAATCCAGTAATACTTTGCCCGACCCGGGAATCGAACCCAAGACCCCTGGCTCAGCAGTCGCACTTGCGACCACTCGGCCAACGAGGCAGTCTATATATTTTAATTTACTCGAAGCAATAAATATAAATATATATATATATATATTGCCTGTTCCGTTAATTAAACCCAAAAAATAAATTTAATCAAATCTAAGACTCCTTACAACTTCTAAAAAAAAAAAATCCATTTCACAAACCTCTCAATAACTTCAGTATGTACAGTTCTGATGCTGGAGACGGCACTGGAGCTGCTCATCTCTTGGAACCCCTCGTCTGTCAAGGAACTGGGTTTCTCACCACCTTCTGCTGTCTCCAGGATGAAATCTAATGCCACAGGCTTTAGTTTGTTAGCTGAACGATCACGAAGATCGAAGTTACCTGTTAGAGAAATGAAAAAGTCGTCTTAATCATCACTTTTAGGACTGCACAGTCAATTATTCTGAGCTTCCTCTGGGTATGAATGCGTATAAGGAGGAATGCCATAGTATCAACAGTTGGCGGGACAGTTGACATCGCAATTTAAACGATGAAGCCTATCAGCAAGCGCAGCATCATCATTATTAACCGCCGGAAGACTCCCACTACTGAACAAAAGCCTCTCCCTTAGTGATCCATGTCGAACGACAACTCGCCACCGGCATCGACTGGCTCCCCGCAACTCTGGCGATGTCATCGGCCTACCTCGCCTGCCCAAGCTTCTTTTTCCGTCAGACTGTCAGTCCGTCGAGGGACGTCGCCTGCCCACTTCAGTCTACAGATTTTGCGAGCTATGTCGGTAAGTTTAGATCTTTGGCGCATTTCCATATTTCGGATTTTGTCGCGCAAAGAAACCCCAAGCATAGTTCTTTCAATCGCGGGCTGAGCGACGTTGAGTTTCTGTCCGTAGTCTCTTAATTGGCTTGTATAACACCCATGCGAAGAATAAGATTGTGACAAATATATTTCGTTAATGTCGGAAACTGAAGAAAATCCAATAAAATAAAATAAAATTGGCCAGATCCAATGATCCTCAATTTAATCAAATCCGGACATAGCCAAGAAAAATAGTTTTTGAACATAACATAACATAACATCACGCCTTTTATTCCCGAAGGGGTAGGTAGAGGTGCACTTAATGCCACTATACAATGTAACACCCACTTTTCACTATTTATGTTTATGAGTCCCATGTAATAGGGGGTGAGCCTATTGCCATATAGCAGGTATAATTCCAGACTCCGTGTTACTACTGAGATTTATTTTAAAACCCAGTTATAGGTACTTTGCCCGACCCGGGAATCGAGGCTTACCAGCGAGGCAGTTTTTTTGAAATAAAAACTAAAATTGGGCAACTCACCAGAATCCAACATACTCTCTTCATCCTTAACCTCCTTAGTTCCCACTGGTTCCTCTTCACCATCACTAGCATCATCTTCATTGCCTTGTTCCTGTTCCTTGTCATCAGTTCCACTCTCATGCTGTTCTCCTGATGAACTGTGATAGGAATCGAAGTCTGATTCGTAGCTCTCGAAGTCATCTTCATAACTTATGTCTTCATCGCTTGGAGCTTTTGGTGGTGGTGGTGGGGCCTGAAATGGTGGGGAGAGTAAGAGTCTTGATGATTACTAGGTATATTATGGACATATACATACAGTTTTATGGGTTTATTTATGGGATAAGCCGATAACCGAGTAGACGGATCACCTGATGGTAAGCAATCGGTGCCGCCCATGGACACCTGAAATACCAGAGGGATTTGAGGATTTTAGGAAATTCGGGGATCGGGGAGACTGAGAAGGGGGGCAATTGGGCTACCGGTAACCTCACTCACACGACGTAACACAACGCAAGCATTGTTTCACGTTGGTTTTCTCCCACGATACTACGATTCTTACATACCTCTTTCGCTTCATCAACAGTCCTAACCATACGGATTGTTTTAATTATTGTATGACAAGGGCGCCGACTTCCGCCGAAACACAAACGAAGAAGAAGGGAAAGAATCTACGAAACTTAAGAATCGACCTCACGAAACGAGATAGCGATTTGGAGAAAGAGTCCGTGGAGAATTAATCTATAATATTATAAAAAAACCATACGGATTTTTTCATAACCAAAATTCATCAAAACACCGAGGAAAGTGGAAACTATCGTTTTTTTCTTCTCCTCTTATAATATCCTCTGATTCACTTCGTTGCAGGAACTAAGACAGTTATACATGTCCCTGGGACGGGCCGGACTTCAGTGTTCCGGTGTTTTCATGGTTGTATCTACTGTAGCTCCTAGCTTACAGGAGTTGCAGCGATTTTGGGAGATTGTGGCGGGCTTGTCCCATTAAAAAAAAAACCAAAATTCTACTTAAATTGATCCAGATTTTTGTATCGATAGGTTAGTACGTACTTACCTTTTTGCTTGTAGCAGGCTTCTCATCCTCCAAATCGATATAAAAAGCTTTCGGCTTAGCACTGAGCCGTTTAGACAGGTTCTTCATTTCTACGTTATTGTCTACTCCAGTCAAAATCTTCACTTCACTCTCATCCAAAGTTCTAGTCTTAGTTCTTTGTCTTTCCTGCCCATCTTTAGCTATCTTTTCCTTCTCAACCTTAATCTTTTCTTTAGCTACGCCTTTATCTTTATTGTCTTTTATAAAACTCTGTTCTTTTTTCATATCCATATTCAATTTACGTTTTACAATCGGAGAGTTGGCTGTAAAATCTCTTATTCGTGGTGTTGAAGATAATCTTGAAGGTTTTTCAACGGATTTGATTGGTTTTTTAGCTTTTTCTGAGTTAAACTGATTGGTTGACGATGTTGATTTTAATAGATTAGCCATTGGTGAAGCGTTGTTTGTTGTGTATGAAGTTGTGAGGGATTTTTTCGGTGCTTTTGTTGTTGAGGAGGTGATTCTCTTCCTATGTCCGTATATATCGGCTGTTGAAGATTTTTGTACGAAATTCCTTGGTGTTGCTGTTGCATATTTAGTTTTGTCATCTTGTGACGTTTTTGGGGATTCGTCCTTTGCTTTTCTGCTTTCTTTTTTGGGTGTGTCACTTGTTTTTTTAGCTGAGGCTTGCATTTTTGTTTATTGTGTGCTGTAAATGATAAAATGATTATTTTGATTAGATATTTCTGTGTTGATAGGCAATAGGATGCTATTGCCATTCTCAGTAGTGCACGGAGTCTGGAATTGTGCCTGGTATATGGCAATAGGCTCACCCCCTTTTTTTATGGGGCGAAAATCATCGAATGACTTCTCCCGCCTGGGTGATCTGGGAGGGAGTGCCAGACTCTTACTGACTAAAAACCACCCCGTTCCTACTCCTGCACTTCGAGACGGAGCCCCGGTAACCCGTTAGGAGGCTAACCCCCTATTACATGGGACTCATAACATAAATAGTGAAAAGTGGGTGTTACATTGTACAGTGGCATTAAGTGCCGTAATGTGCGCCTTTGCCTAACCCTTAAAAGGCGTGATATTATGTGTTGTGTGTTGATATGTCTTGGATTGTAAGAGAACTAGACTATCTCGAGGTTTCTGAAGGTTGGAAGGTCGTATCGATTCAGAAACAATCGACTAATTTATTTGAAGAAACTTTATATGTATGTTCTTGATTAGACATAAGTAGATAAGGACTTCAGCTCATCAAGCTAACTTAATCTGTCTTTCCATTTTATTATCAACTCTATAACTATGATGTTTAAGTTGAAAATCTATGTGTTCTGATCTTTTGTTATTTTATACCATCCTACTATAACATTACCTGATAGACATCATTATGAAAGTTGATATACGATAATGAACTTTGGTACATTGTCTTAGGTATTACAAGTTTTGTCAAGTAATATTCATGTACCTACAGTTGATTTTACTAATGGAAAGTGTGGAGAAGGTAGTAATCTAAATGTATAGTCATTTAGGTACCTCAAAGACCCATCAGACCACCACGGATGGGGCCCACAGGGCTGATGCTGAATCGGAGCCGCAGTAAACGTATACGGTTACCGGAGTTTGCAGGGCAGGAGTAAAAACCGGATGGTTTTAGTCAGTAAGAGTCTGACACTCACTCCCACCTCATCCAGGCGACAAAAGTCATTCGATGATTTCAGGGGGGGGAAATCATCAAATGTCACACTCTTACTGACTAAAAACCACCCCGTTCCTTCTTCTGCGCTTCGAGCCGGAGCCCCGGTAACCCGTTAGGTTCTCGGCGACTCCGAATCGGCATCATCGGCCCTGTTAGCCCCATCCGTGGTGGTCTGATGGGTCTTTGAGGCGTGCACGGAACGCGCCGCGCCGTACGCTATACAGGCAGGGTATGGGCTGACTTAGGTGATAGGGTTTTTTTTCCCAATTAGTTGCTCCAATGGAATATTCTACGCGGTACATATATAACCTTACGCCTGTCTCCCATGGGGGTAGGCAGCGACTATAGAATGCCATATATTTATTATACAATTATTTTATTGGTTAGTAACGTATATCGTATAAAAGGCAATTAATTTACCCTTGGGAAATAAAGGAATATTTTATTTAAAGTTATCGATAGATAAAATGAAAATAAAACGCTAGTGGCTCCATTTATGTGTTCCCAAGTGTAAGAAACCCCCCTACTTTTTACGTCGGGGGTAAATGATGTCACCTCGTCCCCTACTTACCTACATTTCGACAATCGATCACGGAGTGTCGTCACGTGGCGAAATGACAAACCATAACATCTTTTCATGAATAAATTATTACCCAACTGTTCCTTACCTTGACATATTTTTTTTAAAAACACACCTTTTTCAAAGATTTTCTTTCACAAAAACCTTTAATTTTAACATTAGTTTATTTTCTATAACTTTATAATATTAATATTGTGTTTAAAATGTATTATTTCGTGTTTTTCCTCGCGTGTTATGCGCGTGGTGACGCGAGTTGTACACAAATGGCGTTGCCATGGTAACAGAAATTTCAAACATGTCAAGTTAGTCAACTTTTTTTTGATGCATTAAGCTAAGGTAACATTTTTTATTATTTTTTTTTAGGTGTAAATATTTTAGTTTTTAGTTATTTGTATTTTAAATTGTATAGGTACATTTATCTATAAGTACTAATATTATAAAGAGGAAATATTTGTACCTGTAATGAATGAAACTTTGTAATGAATAGGCTCAAAAAGTACTGGGCCGATTTAAAAAAATCTTTCACCAATAGAATGCTACATTCTTCCAATTTGACATGAGTTACATTTCATTTTGAAAAAAATTAAGGATCCTTGGTAAAATTTGAACAATGTAACCGAAGGTGTAAAAAATGAGTCTTAAAATGTCTTTCGATTTCGTCGAATGCGCTGCCGAAACTATTAGCGATAGAACAAAATAATGTACAACAATATTGAAGAACATCATAATGTCTACAAAAAACTCCGCGGTAGCATATGTCCAACTATTGTAGTTATGTCACTACAACAATCCAAATTTCCAAAAATAAAATAATTGTCTACCCCGTGCGAAGCCGGGACGGGCTGCTAGTTCATATATAACTTTATTATTTGTAAATAAATCACAAAATGGAACGAAGCGTAAACTTCGGTAGGATTGGGGCGAATTTAAGCGCGAGGATTGCTATTTATTGGTTGGCAACATAGATAATATATAACAGTTGGCAAGTACGTTGAAAAAAACGCAGACATAGTCTGTTGCAAAGAGTATAATAAGTATAGGTCTGTTGAGACAACGACTGTTACACACACACATTGACACGAAGGACATCTTAGTGCTTTTTTTTTTGAGGGCGGAACTTCATTTTTTTTTGGCATGAGCCGGTAAACGAGCAGACGGATCACGTGATGGTAAGCAATCGGCGTCGGCCATGGACACCTGGAACACCAGAGGCGTTACAAGTGCGTTACCGGCCTTTTGGGGATTAGCAGTTTGAGGATCGTTGGGGATTCAGGAGTTGGGGAGATTGGGGAAGGGGAGGGTAATTGGGCCTCCGGTAACCTCACTCATACAACGAAACACAACGCAAGCGTCACAGTATAACAAGTCGGTTTTCTGTGAGGACGTGGTATCACTCCGGTCGAGCCGGTCCATTCGTGCCGAAGCGTGGCTGCCCCACACTTTCTCATTCAATGACTTCTCCCGCCTTGGGTTGGGGAGAGAGAGTGTCAGACTCCTACTGACTAAAACTACCCCGCTCTCACTCCTGCTGTTCGAGCTGGAGCCCCTGCAACCCGTTAGGCCTTCCGCGGCTCCGTGTCGGGCATCAGCCCTACTGGGCTCCATTTATGGTGGTCTGATGGCTCTTTGAGGCGCGCGCTGAACGCGACGCGCCGTACGCATGGGTCTGTTTCTGGTCGGGCGGCGAGCTACCCTTGCTCACCGTCCGCAGATCCGGTGGCCGGAGATCGCCACGTGATCTCTTAGTACTTATTTCTTAAAAATTTGCTGGAAATATATTAAAAATAAGTCGGTCATAAAATCAAATAATGAAAGTGTGATTCTTTTTTAATATGTTATTGTATTGAACACATATCATCACGTCTTTTATCCCTGAAGGGGTAGGTAGAGGTGAACATTATGCCAATGTACAATGTAACACTTACTTTTCACTATTTATGTTATGAGTCCCATGTAATAGGGGGTGAGCCTATTGCCATATACCGGGCACAATTCCAGACTCCGTGCTACTACTGAGATTTTTTTTAAAACCCAGTAATACTTTGCCCGACCCGGTAATCGAACCCGAGACCCCTTGCCCGACAGTCTCACTTGCGACCACTCGAACAACGAGGCAGTCGAAATTGTGAAGAGTGTATTGAACAGTCGAAATAATTAATTTTTGATTAAGGAAAGTACCCAGTAGTATTTATTTCATCATTTTTTTTAACATATGCTATCCTTCCCTTCTCGTTACATGATACCAAGAGATTACTCTGATTAGCTATCAGATTAAACAAGTAATACAAATAATTCTTAAAGATAAAGAAATATAAAGTCACACATTCATATTTAACTGTGTTTAAGAATTGCGTCAGGTGTTTTCTCTGAGGCGTGATTACGAGTAGGGATTTTCATACAAAACTATATTATTCTTTTTATATTTTATACTAGCTACTTATTTCCGCGCGGTTTCACACGCTCTGCTCAGCTCCAATTGGTCGTAGCGTGATGTTTTATAGCCTATACCCATCCTCGATAAATGCGCTATCCAACACAAAAATAATTATTCAAATCAGACTTGTAGTTACGGAGATTAGCGCGTTCAAACAAACAAACAAAACTTCCGCTTTATATAATAGTATATTAAGATTAAACCCATACATGACGACTATTTAGACGACATATTCAGATGGTACATAACATAGTACATACATGTTTGACTCCTCGATCCTGTTCTAGGTATCCATGTGAGGAGCCTATTGCTTACCATCAGGTGAACCGTCGGCTTATTGGTCGCACTATGTCAATACAAAATCTGTTTGTCCATTTCCATAAAAAATTTATAACTAAGTTAATTATTATGTTTTTCGTGAGTCACGTAATTATTTGACACACATGATGAATTGACTGTCACGGAATGCTGTTCATGAATAATATGAGCCTCTCGTATGGCTTGAAACTAGTCGCGTTCCTCGTCAAACATTAGGGTAGTAGACAGGGTATGGAAATTAAAAATGTAATTAGTCCGTCAGTTAGATAATGAAAAAATATTAGACACGTATTTTTTTATTTTGTCGTATAAAGTTATAATCCTTACTAATATTATAAAATCGGAAAGTGAATTTGTTTGTTTGTTTGTTTGTTCCACTTTAACGCCGTAACTGCTGAACCGATTGCTTTGAATTTTTGCAGACGTAAAGTTAGAAGTCTGGATTAAATGATAGGGTACTTTTTATCCTAAAAAAATTGATATTCCCGAGGGAAAACAAAAGTATTGGTATAGATGGCGCTGTATGTATTGGTATATGTCACATAGGCTACTTTTTATCCTTTTGTGACGCGAGCGAAGCCGCGGGTAAAAGCTAGTACTTAAATAAAATGAAGTTAAGTTTAGGAGTGGGAGGTCGTTACCTCACGCTACCCTATAAA